AGCTCAACTGCGTCGAGGGCCTGATCTACAAGGCCGGGGCCAGGCGGTCCTACCACCGCGACGCCCACTGGCTGCTGGCGCTGAGCTTCGGGTGCGAGGTGCGGATGGGCTTCCACCGGCACGACGACCAGGACCCGGTCGAGCTCACCGTGCCATCGGGCGACGCGGTCCTGTTCAACGGCGCGCTGCACTCGCACGCGGTGCTGGGCATCGGCGAGGCCGAGTCGGCGCCTGGGTGGTGGGCGTACCCCTTCGCCCGCGCGGTGTTCCTCATGCGGGACGCACGACAGACCATCAGCGCACGCAGGCGACAGCAGGCCAGGCGAGCCGCGGCTGTGGAGGGCGGCAAGGAAGCCGCTGCGCTGGCGGCTGCGCGACTTGGTGCTGCCGAGGAGCTCTAGAGTGAAGCAGAAGAGGAATCCCCCTGGTTTGTTTTGTTTATAATCAACATAAATGTACAGACATAGTGTTTAGTGACAGAGGTATTTTTGCCCTTCTTGTGGAAGAAGATGAAGGTGTCTAACGGAATGCATGTTGATCATTTATTCTCACAAAGGCATGGAAACCTGCACAATGCAGCAGGCTCACCACAAACTGGCGAACATGTCGGTCTTCTCGTATTGGACGGTGCTCACGTCGGTAAGGAGAGAGAAGGACTGCAGCATCTTGCGTACGCCAGGGTAGGTGGCGGGGCTGATGTTCGCCAGGTTGCACAAGGCGCGAATCGAGTCTTGCAGCTTGGCTGCGCTCTTGTGGTTCGCGAAGGAGCTGAGGGACTGATTGTTGACGTTCAGGTTAAGCATGCCCGCGCTCACGACGTACACGGCAAGGACGTTGGTGGTCTTCGTCGAGTCGCTCTTGGTGGTCGAGTGCAGCAGGCCCAGGAGGCAGCGCTGTTGCAGGCACACGAGGGCCTTCGTGTCGTCGGTGAAGTCCATGTCGAAGATGGGAGCCATGTCGCCCCGGAGGGGACCGACCTTCACCTCGAAGTAGTTGAGCAGCATCTGGATGCAGGGAGAGAGGTTCGCCAGGCTGGCTTGCGGCTGGTTGGAGATGCGAATCTCGATGTTCATGGCAGTGGTGGTTGGAGGTAGGTGTTGCTGTTGGGCGGGACTGTGGGTTGTGGTTTGATTCAACAAACACCCTTTGACGGCTTTTAACGTCGTTCGGTCGTGGCGTGTCAAAGATGTTCACCAGGAGAAAACCTAGCAGAGCAGTTCACCAGGAGATGATAACCTTGCAGCATGATAACCCGGTGATCTCCCCCTCGCTGCAAGGTTTCATCATCTCCTGGTGAACTGCTGCGCTGCAAGGTCATCAACTCTGTTCACACAAGGCAATCACGAAATACTGTGCAACTTGGTTATCATCTCCTGGTGAACAGTCTCGTTGCAAGGTTATCATCTCCTTATGAACAGCTGCTCTGCTAGGTTATCTCCTGGTGAACATCTTTGTCTCCGTGCAGCACCAAATAACGCTGCAGGCAGATAAAAAAGAGCGCCATTGAGACAGAATGTTCACGCACCACACCCACATCAGCACACCAGCATGGACGACAAACTCACAGTTGGGACTGCAAGCAGCACTTCGGAGCCTACACCCCCTTCCGTTGCCTCTGCCGGCAACATTGAAGCCCAGAATGGCGACGTACGTCGTGGAGGCCGGGTTCTCGCCATCAACCCTAACTGCTGGTCTTGCTTCTCCTTCTTCGGCCTGGCTTTGCTGGTTGGGCTGGTCGGCGCGGCCACCCTGGTGGACATCGTGTGGGGCTTCATCGACCACGACGAATGCTTGAGCAACACAATCTTCGGCCTGGACAACGGCATCGTCTACACCGTCTCCTCGTGTGTCCTTCTGGCGTGCGACCTGGTCCTGTGGCTCGTCATCCCTAACTGGGACGCGCTGAAGAGCATCGCCAAGACCCTCGTGTGCACACTACCTGCTTACCTGCTGGCGGCGAACTACGTCTTCTACGGGTACCAGCTGTTCTCCAACTTCCCCGAACACCCGGCCGCTCGAGCCATGTGGATCTTCGCCTACCTTGCGTCCCTTGCTGCGAACCTAGCGGCGCTCGTCTTCTGCATCGCCTTCAACTTCGTCATGAAGGTAGAGATCTCCGACATCCATCGACTCTTTTTTGTGGGCGCCATCGCCGTGCAGATGGCCGGCAAGGTTTTCCTGTGCGCTGTCCTCGAGGTTCGCCCCCCCCCCGGTAGTCTGGTTGCAGTCACACCTCTCAACCACCAAAAAAATAATCCCAACCTATTACGTACTTGCACGTTGGAAAGAGAAGACAATACTGATTGTTATTGGTTGCAGGTGAACCTGATACATTGCCTCAATGTGACTACGACCAACCTGGGGCTGCGTCTGGCTGCGCAGATGTCCATTCTGTGCTATCTGTTCTTCGCGATCCTGCTCGGCGTCAACATCTGCCGGCACATCATCTCGAGCGACGAAGACTTGGACTACTTCTCTCCAACACATCGAAAGGCAGACCAAAAGGCCGTGTGGATCAAGATCCAGGACAAAAAGCCCTTCTTTTGTTGACAAACAATAAAAGAACATGCCATGTACATACCCGGGAGGTCGAACTGCAGCGACGTCGACCCCAGAGCGCCTGCCGCAACGAGCCGTATGAGTGTGTGGTGTCGTGTCGTGCGTATGCGGTGGTGCGTGTGCGCCTCTGGGTACCGATAAGCAGGCCAAAGTCCGGGGCAGCGGGGCGACAGCCGGCGGGGCTGGGACATGGCCTCCTCTGCGATGTCGGTCACCACGAAGAGCTGCAGCGGGTAGGTCGATGCGATCGCGATGATCAGGCCCACGATCACGAGCATGGCGAAGGGCTCCTTCTTGCCGTGCGGTGGCTCGGGGTGGTGCGAATCATCTCCCGCCCCACTAGTGGGCCATTTGGATGAAGGCGGCGGTGAGGATCACCACAATGCTCGTCAGGATGGCCACGTTGACGAGCATCGCCGCGAACGGCATGTGCTTCAACTGGCGAAAGATGTGTGTGTGTGTGTGTGTGTGTTTTACCTATTACACTAGAAAAGCATGCACGCGGACTTGGGTCAAGTGGGTCAAGTTGCTCGGCCCGCCTGTGTTGTAGTGAGGCGCAATCAATGGGCGCACACGACACCAAATGGCATTGTGTGTGGTGTGTATGTGACAAGGGAACACGCACCTCTTGGCCTGCACCAACATGATCATCGAGTGATTACGGAGACGAAGGCCATCAAGCTAGCGAGAGTGAGGATCCACCAGCCACCCGGCCACTGAAAGAGACTGAATGAAGCTTAGCAGAATGTGAGTACTCAGAGGCACCAGTGCGCACGCACCAGAAGGCGTAGGGGAGGCCCAGGATGCCGCTGCCCAGGCACACCTTCACTAGGTTCTATCATAGCCGTAGCGGCGCGTGAGCGTGTGTGCGGGGCGGGCTCAAGGTGAGCACCATTCATGAGCACTGACCAAGAGCACAACACGTGTGGGAGAGGAGACTCACAATGCGCTTCCGCCCTCATTGACGGCATGTTCATCGTCACCTTCGCTCTTGCCTCACTGTAGGTGTGCACTTGGTGTCGGTGGTGCAACCTCTGCTACGATGATTGCACCATTTATCGCGTGGCAAGGTGAGGTACAACATCCAATTTAATTACAAAAGCTAATTACAAAGCGATGTGGAAGAACTACAACACGTACCTCCTCGTTTGTTCAATGACGCTGAAATGCACATCGTGCATTCTTTTGATCCTTGAATCTCTTTGCCGGTGGTCAAGCCAGCACGCAAAAGGGAAACTCCGTGCTTGAAGAAGGGGGTGTAGCTCACATGGTAGAGCGAATGCTTTGCATGCATTAGGTAGCGGGATCGATACCCGTCACCTCCACACATTTTACCGTTCAACCAGTCTCCAGCATGCTTCAGCTTTTTGCACTAGGTCTCAAGTTCCTGCATACCTGGAGGACCCTGGGTGATGATGTGGCCAGTCTCAACGGTCACTGTCAACTTGCGCGCCAAATTCTGGTCGTTCCCGCCAAATGGTGAGGAATTTCAGGTTTCTCAAATTCTTAGCGGAACACATTCCGGTGTTGACCAATGGCAGCGTGTGGCGGTTTTTCCCGTTGGGCCGGTGTTGCCCCTCGCGCGGTCTTCCCTCTTCTATTCTTCGTCTCCCTTCGCGTCTCTAACGGCCACTGCTCCCTCGATCAGCGCTGATTCGTTAATCGATCGACCAATCTTTCATCTGCGCCACTTGCACATCATCCACACACAGAATGACTGCCGTCTTGAATTCGTTGGGTCTGGAGACGCTCGAGGAGCTGTACTACCATGACGATCCCCACGCCGCGAAGGAGGAGAAGAAGAAGCTGAAGAAGAAGGACATCGTGGATGCCATCAGCGACAAGATCGACACGTACGCCATCGAGGTCTTCATCGCGTCGCTGCCGCTCGCGCAGCTCAAGACGGTCGCCGAGAAGGCGAAGGTGCCGTTCAAGGAGGAGGACAACAAGAACAGCCGATCGGTGCTGTCCAGGCGACTCACCGAGCAGGTCGTGTCTGCGGGCTTCGATGAATTCCTCGAGACCGTCGATGCCGATACGCTCAAGGCCGTCGCGGAGGACTTTGACGTGAAGGCCGACAAGAAGGCGATCGCTGAGGCCGCTCGCACCTTCGCCGCCGAGAGGTACTTTGGCAACTTCGATGTCGAGTCGCTGCGCGCGCTGGCCGAGGAGCTCAAGCTCAAGCAGGCCGCCAAGACCTCGAGCAAGAGGAAGCTCGTCGAGGCCATCGTCACGCAGGAGGATGCCGAGCCCGTCGAGGCCCCCAAGAAGAAGAAGCAGAAGACCGATGTGGGCAAGAAGAAGGCCCTCGAGAAGGGAATCACCTACGACGAGATCTTCCAGCACTACTACGTCGAGGAGCTCAGGGACTTCGTCAAGTCCAAGGGCATCAAGGTCTCGGGCAAGAAGCCCGTCCTCATCAAGCGCATCCTCGCCTACCTCGCCGGCGAGACCGAGGGCATCATGGCCGGCGACAAGACCGAGAAGGCCAAGAAGAAGAAGAAGGCCACCACCAAGAAGGCTGCTGCCGCCAAGAAGGGCGCCGCCTCCACGAGCGCCAAGGGCAAGGGCAAGAAGGAGGAGAACGGCAACGGCGACGAGTAAGACGATGACGATCCACTCCGCCGCCGCTACACTCTTTTCACCAACCTGCTAGATCGCACGCACTCGACTCTTCTCTCGATCAAGCAGACTACGACGCGCTGCTACTTGCTTTCTCTTTTTTCCCTCCATGCTTTACATCCATTAAGCTCGCTCGATATTCGAACTTACCGATTCCCTCCCCTTCGCCTCCTCTCTCTCGACCACTCGCCTGTGGAGTGAGAGATTGAGAGTGTACAATGATGACCAAAGAAAGAATTACAAACCAAACCCCATCGCTGTCCCATCTTTGCCCATTTCGGCCCCATTTGTAGATTTACAGTGTCGTGACCGCCCACTAGTGTCCCAAGGCAGTGATAGTCATTCATCAGCGCATTTCGGTGCCCTACGTAGGGCATCTTGAAGATGTGGGGGGGGTTAGACGTCGTGGCTTTGATTTCTGTTTATTTGATTTCTGGTTGGACAAGAGGCAGGCAATGACATCAGCGCAGGCCTGCCTCGCTGCGGAAGCGGCCGGCGGCTGTGAAGGCCTCCGAAGCGACCGAAGCGGCAGGACCCTTGGGCTTGCTGCCGTCGGCGGCGGACAACATGCGTCGCTTGAAGGCCGCCTCGAGGCCGGCGCCGAGCTTGACCAGGGCGATGGTGAGCAGGATCGTGACGTGGCAGCCCAGGAAGAAGCGTGCCATCAGCGACAGGCCCATGGGGATCCACACTGGCCAGAGAAGGGATGGCATGAGCGTCGACCAGGCGCGCACAGTGTGTGTCGTGTGTAGCGTGTGTGTCGTGTGTGTGTCATCGTGTGCGTACGGTATTTCCAGCAGAGGGTGAGGACGAGGGTGTGGGACACAAAGAGCCACAGGCCCAGGCGGTAGAGGTGGTCGTAGAGGAAGGGCACCATCGGCGCGTTCACGAACCGGAAGGCGGCGCCCAGCAGGCACACGACCACCATCCACGTGCCCGCCATCGAACCGATCCTGCATCGCGCGCCGGAGGTGAGCAACCGACCGCACACACCTGACCGCACACGCAGTGCCGCACACGCTCACCCACACTGAGGAGAGGAGTGGTACCGTCGGATGAAGTGTTTGTGGATGGGATAGGGTCCGCGGATCGAGGAGAGCATGCTCTCGAAGAGGATCGGGAACACGTTCCAGAAGACGAACACGAGCCACACGAACATCTTGTTGCCGTCCCTGAATACGAAGAGCGTGTTGTGCTCGTCGAAGAGTTTACTCTTAAACTGCAGCGATGTGTGTGTGTGTGTGTGTGCCGTGTGTGCGTGTGTGTGTGTGTGTGTGTGCCGTGTGTGCGTGTGTGTGTGTGTGCCGTGTTCGTTGTTAATGACCTGTGTCGGTTGATCGCTACGAGAGGCCAGTGCGTACCTCTCCGGTGTAGATGCCCACCACGAAGAAAATGAAGAACTGCAGATAGAAGAGCTCTACACGACGAAAAAAAAGAGAGAAAGCGAAGGATGAGCGCGTGGTGTTGGGGGGGGGGAATGGTGAGCACTACCCTTGGGGTCGGGTTTGCGGATGCAGAGGACCCAGGAGAGGGCGACGAAGGCGAAGAAGCCCAGGCGCAGGTCGCACCGGTGGGGCCAGTACATGAAGGCCGCCAGGGCCACCATCGGCACGAACAGGCCCGCCACAAAGTACGCTGGGCGTGTCCGCGGATTCCAAAGAATGTGAGGCCATGCCACGCGCGCATTCTTGAGATGAGCGCGAGTGCGGGGGGTGGGGGTACCGATGTCGGGGAGGTCCATGGGGGTGAGGCAGAGGAGGGCCAGGGCCGACGCACCGGCGAACCCGCCCAGCACCGCGAACAGCTGCGACTTGTCAGCAGTCTCGGGCGAGTCCTGGCCACACATCGAGCGCTTGTGAGTGTCCTGTCGTGTGCGTGTCGTGTGCGTGCGGTGGGGCGTGTGTGGCGTGTGCGGTGTGTGGCGTACCTTGATCCACATGACGAGCGGGAGCGTGAGTGCGATGAAGGCCATGAGGATGAGCGTGTACCACTGGGACCCGATGATGCCGAACAGGCCCGCTCGCACGAAGCCGCCCTTCTCCGGGTGGAAGTCGAACAACCACGCCCAGAACCGCAGCTTGTACTCCCACTCCGTCTCTGAGACCCCCGCACCGCGCCGTCACCGCAACCGAAACATCAGCCATCATCGCACACTCGCCGCACACGCACCACAGCCACACGCATACGACGTACCGGTTTCGGGCGTGTAGATGGGCGAGTGCTCGCCGCCCCACTCGATTGGCGCCACCTCGCACTGTTGTTATAAAGTGGTGAGAACGCACACACTCGTCGCACACGCCACACACACACACACACACACACACAGAGCGCACGCGCGACGAGGGAGGGGTGTACGCGGATGATGTTGAAGAGGACGCCGATGGCGAGGAGGTGGGAGAGGCGCCAGCACGAGGCAAGGACGAGGCCGAGGTGGGTGACGACCTTCTCGCGGGCCGTCGGGAGGGCGGTGTGGAAGAAGGCCATCGCCCTCTCCTTCTCGCGCTGCTTCCGCAGGTACGAATTCACGCCGATGCTCATCGAGATCCCAGAAATGAAGAACAGCATCGGCACGCACCTGTGTGCGACACACACACACACACACGACACACACGACACACACGACACACACGACACACACGACACACACACGAGCGTTGGTGTCGTGTCGCGTGATCGTGTAAAGTGCAACGTTTGTGTGTGGGCGTACCAGTGGTAGCCAAGGGAGACGGCGCGATAGATGTAGAGGCCGGGCTCGTGCTGCTCGTCCTTGTCCCGCCACCCTCCCGCCTCGTACTGACTGATCTGTGCGTGTCGTGCGTGTCGTGCCATCAGCAACGGGCGTGTGTGCGTGCACGGCACGGCACGACACGACACGAACGGAGTACACGGGTCGTGCGAGAGGAGTACCTTGTAGGTGTGTCCGAAGACGACGTAGAAGATGCAAATGAAGCGAATCCAGTCGAGGCCGTACCACCGCTCGCCCCGCGCTCGCCCCCCAAGCTGGCTCGTCATCGCCTCCTTCTCCGCCGGGGAGTCGTGGTCGCCCACGATCGTCACCTCCACCTCTGTGTGGTGCGCGCCCCCGCCATTCGTGTGACTGCTGCCACTGCTGCTGCTGTGGCCGGCGGTGTCCCATGTCATCGCCGCAGGTCGTCCTCGCAACTCCATTGTATTTGTGCTCTGCTTCACACTATTTTTTCATATATATATATATACATACATACACATACACTACATTAGCACAATGTCAACATGTAGAAACCAACATTGCCACGTGCTAGCTGTACCTTGATGGTTTGGTGGTTGGGGGTTGAGTTGTTGTTTGGTTGTGTGCGGCCAGAGCGAGCTCGTTTGGCGGACTTGGGGGGTGTTGAATGGCTGGTGGTGGACCACCAAGTCATCACACAGATCGCATGGAGGACCGAGGCGAGGGGAGTTGTCTGTCCCTTGTTCGGTGCAGTTTTCGGCTCCTCTTCGTCCTGCCGGCGCAAGAAATGCCGCCGGAAAAGCCGCCCTATCAGAGCTTCGCGCTGACGTCAGCGATCCAAGGCTACATTGCTAAAAATCAATCAAAATGAGAGATAGATTAATTGGGGGAACATGGCACCTTCTGCTTCGAAGGGAAGGTGGCGCTTGTTCCAACGTAGTGGAGGGATTCCCCCCCCCCCATTTCCAGGCCTAGGATGAAAAGGCTTATTCACATGAGCTCCTTAATTACACTGCCCCAGCTCTTCAGGGTTGCTTCTTCTTCTTGCTGCTTGCGCTCTCCTCCTTCTCCTTCGCCGCTCCATTCGATTTCTTCTTCTTGCTGCCGCTACTTCCGACAATCTTGAGCGGCGCGATGCCCAAGATGTTCTTGAGCGCGGCCCACGACGGGTGGAAGGCCGCCACGCTGCGTCGGTAGGCCTCGTACCGCTGCCCGAACTCGTCGTCGCCCTTGAGGCCGCCCTCCTCTAACCCGGTGGCCACCACGATGAAGGTGATCCACAGCCCGGCCAGGAAGAGGTGGTTGACGGTCCACGCCGGCAGCACCGCGTAGCACCACAGGAAGCCAGCCGCGGCCGGGTGTCTCACCAACCCGTACGGGAACCTCAGGATCAAGTCACCATGTGGCCGCTTGCCTGTGTGTCGTGTCGCGTCGTGGCGTGCGTGTCGTGTCATCAGCATTCATGGAATGTGTGGAATGCGTGTGCGGTCGTGCGTGTGTGCGGTGTGACACGCACCTTGGTCGTATTGGTAGCGAGCCGTGCCAAAGACGTGGTCGGGGAGCGACCAGAGCAGGCCGACGATGAGCACCACGCCGGCGGCGAACACGGCGCCCGAAGCGGCCCACACGTAGGGCGACACGGCCAGCGGGTCCCACGGGGCTGCGCAGGTGTCGACCGGCCGCCAGGTGTGGACGTTGAGGCCCCAGGCCACCCAGGCGACGGTGGCGAAGAGGGGCCGCTCAAGCGGGTGCTCCCACAGGCCGAGGGCCTGCTTGACCGCCTTGCGGGCCAGGATGGAGTGGGTGCCCCACCACAGGGCGAACCAGAGGAGGTTGCTCACCGCATTGCCCACTACGAAGTGCTCGCACTGGCCCGCACTACACGAGGCACGCCATTGGCCAGCACACGTCAGCCAAGCCAAATAAAAACAATAAAAAAAGACGAATAAAGGAAGAGCTGGCAAAACGTGACGTACGGGAGAGGCGGCTTGGCGTCGAGGGTGACAAGGCCGAGGTTGAGCGGGTCGTTGAGGAGGTAGTTGAGCCAGTAGGCGAACACCACGTGGGTGGCGACGAAGGCCACGCGGGAAAGTGTGTAGGAAAGCACGGCGGTGGCTCTGCCCATGCTGGTGGCGATGAATGAAGAGAGTGGGGTAAAGCTGAACGATTGGACTTTGACCACTTTGCGCCTTTTGAGCTTGCCCTGCAAGGCCCCGGGGATGGCAAGACTGTTAGCCGAAGAGTTTGCGGCGTCGTGAGTTGTGTTGCGCTTTGAGAGAAGGAGAAGAGAAGGCGCTGGCTTTCAGGTGAGGTTTCAATAATGGTGACGAAGAAGTCAACCGCCAAATTGAACAAGGTTAGTATCGGCGATTGGCGCCCCCAGTCGTGCGCGCCTAAGAAGAGGAAGCCGAAAGGGCACCCCATAATGCCGACATGTCGCCTGGGCTGTTGGGCGTAAATGTCGACAAGGAATGCGTGCGCTGCATTCCTGACCACCACACGCACAACTAGGCGGAGGCGAGGGGCGCAGTGGTGAAGAGGAGGATGGTGAAGGCGATCGGGTGAGGCGGCGGCTCGGCGGTGACGGCCACGATCGACAGGTGCTCGCCCGCCTTGAGCGGCTTCGTCGGCGTCAGCACCCGCAGCCGATTGTCCGAGAACGGACCGCTCGGCAACTGCACTCATTCTCATTAGCGTTCAATGTGTGTCTTGTGTGTGTCTTGTGGGTCGTGTGTGTCGTGTCGTGTGTGTCATGTGTGTCGTGTGTGTCGTGTGTGTCGTGTGTGTCGCACACGAGGGGCGTACGGTCTTCTTCTTCTTGTGGTGGTAGAGGCAGAGTCGCACGGCCACCGGGCCCAAACGCCCACCTCGCCGCTCCATCATCGCGAACGCCTCCTCTCCGTCGTCGCCGCCACCCATCGCCGTGGTGACGTAGGCGTAGAGGTGCGTCTTGTCGGTCGTCTTGAACTCGAGCCGCGGGTTGTCGAGCGGTCCGCCCTGGCGGCCGGCGTCGTCGGGGTGCCACACGCCCTCGAACGCGGTCACGGCCATGCCCTCGCCCAGACTGGGGATTGGGGTGATGGTGATGCCCTCGGCGGAGTCGTTGGCCTGCACGGTCAGCGTGAACGAGGCCGCGCAGCCGGGCTGGGTCGATAGGACCACGACCACGTCGCCGCCGCTCTCCTTCATCGACAGAGTGTGCGTCAGCGCGCAGTAGTCCGGTCGGTACGGCCCTGGCACGTCCCACCCCACCCACCGACGCGACGCATGTCAACCCGCACGAGCTCGTGCGTTGTATTGCGTCGTGTGTGTCGTGTCGTTGGTCGTGTCGTTGGTCGTGTCGTTGGTCGTGTCGTGTCGTGTCGTGTCGTTGGTCGTGTCGTGTCGTGTACCGGTAGTGGTGATCGGGGGCTGTTTGTTGAGGTAATGGCTACGGTCGGTCGGTTTGTCTTTGGCCGCCCGCAGCAGTGCCAGGTTGACATTCACCTCGCCTCCACTCGCGCTATCCAAGCCAAGCAAAGAAGGATTAATATCCATCCATTACACCAACACATGAATGTGTAACAAGCAAACATCAATATAATAAAATTGAATATATCAACTATAAGCTATTAATATAAATACCTGTCGTAGGCGCTGAGAGTGGTCTGGAAGTGGACGTGGGCGGCACTGTGGGAAGGGCGGAAGGAGACGAGGTACATCGGGTTGAGCAGGTACGTGTCCAGGCCGAATGGCCCGCCCACCGTCGTTTCGTGAACATCTGTGCCCTCCACCTACGCAAATAAATAAATCAGTAAATAAAAAGTAAATGAATTAGTAAATAAAAAGTAAATAAGTACGTAAATAATGAAAACGAAAATGAAAATGAAAACGGACGCAAAGGGTACCTTCTTGTGGGGATCCCACGAGCCCTGGATTTGCTGCTCGTGCGCCCAGTGGTCCTTGGGGAGGAGGGCGAAGCGGTCGACCTCGGTGCCGGGCGGGGCGAAGAGGCGCAGGGAGAAGGGGAACGTGGAGTGGGCCTCCTTGTGGCACACGAGCACGGTGAACGTGCGCGGCTTCGGCCCGGGTTCGAGGTCGAGCTGGACGAAGTAGTTGTCGCCCGTCACGAAGCGGCCCTCGTGCACCATCACATTCCTGTGTCCGCACTCTTGCTCAGCACACGACACGACACACACGACACAGCACACGACACAGAACACGACACCGCACCTGCCGTCGTAGATATCGTTGATTCTCTTGCCGCCGTTTTCAAAGATGTGCAGCGTCATGTAATCGTCGCTGGTAGTGGTGAACTGATCAGGCGCCGCCTGTGGTGCGTGCGTGTGGGTGATTGGGGCGGGAGGTGCGCGTACGTCTTGTACGAGTCGACGGAGCCCTTGCGCGAGGTGACGTGGTGCGTGGCGCCGGTGTGGTGGCGGGTGAGCACCAGATGCACCGACGTGCGGTGCGGTGGTGGTGCGACGGTCAGCACATACTGCGGCGAGTGGACGTAGGACCGCGGGTCGATGTACAGGTCCACCTTCATTGACGTCACCACCAGACCGTCCCTGCCACACACGACCAACGACACGACACGACACGACACGACCAACGACACGATACGACACGACCGCACACAGTTAGCGCCACAAGTCGCTGGCGCTCCGAGTGAAGTCTGCCGACGTACAGCTGGTGCAGGCGCGAGTCGTGAAAGGGCGAGTCGATCAGGGTGGCGGCCTTCTCGGTAAGCCGCGGCAGGGCCGGGATGACGGCGTGCGCGATCCGCTGGTCCGCGTAGCACGCCTCCGGGTCCCACCCTATGTGCAGCTCCGAGTAGTACCTGCACCGTTGCCAGCCACTTAGCCTGTGTGCGTGCGTGCGGTTGTGTGTGTGTGTGTATGTGTGTGTGTCGTGTGTGGTGTAAAGTACTCGAGCAGGTCCTCCCAGCCGATCCAGAATACGCCGTTGTCAAAGTAGTGCTGCGCGGAGAGATCAAAGTCCAGGTCTTGCTGCACCTCCTCGGTCCAGCTCTCCGCGTCGTGCTCCGACCACTTGCCGCGCCAGCGGTGGGCGGCCCACGGGTTCTTGAGCTTGACCAGCCGTTGGCCGTCGCGCGTGCATCGGACGTCCAGACACGCATACGCGTGGAACGGCAGGAGTCCTTTTTGTGTGCGCAGAACAGTCAGCGCGTGTCGTGTCGTGTCGTGTCGTGTCGTGTCGTGTCGTGTCGGTGCGTTGGCAGTACCGGTGGGGTGGGAGGTCCGGTAGAAGGAAGGGATGGCGGGGTCCAGGTCCGACTCGGCCAGCCCGCCCGTGGCAAACACCACCAGGCACTTGCCCTCACTAAACCCTTTCTCAAGCTTGGTCCTACGTTGGACACACACACACGTAGACCGCACACGCAACCGCACACGCAGACCGCACACGCAGACCGCACAACAGACCGCACACGCACACGACACAGTGTTGGTAGTGTGCGACGGGGCGGGGCGGGGCGTGTGTGCTTGCGGTGGCGTACCAGAGATGGTCGATCTTCCTCGAGTTGGCCACGAGGTCGCTGAGGGACACCGCCTCGGGGACGAATCCGAAGAGGATCTGCATGTCGCTAGCCGCGTGCGTGCCGTGGATGTAGGCCCCGCCCTTCACCTTCATGTAGGCCTTCTCGATCAGGCTCGCAAACACCTCCGACCTGGCGGCCAAGTGTGTGTGGTGTGTGTGTGTGTGTGGTGAGCGTGCGCTGCGATCGGTTTCGCTTCCTTTGCGGCGGGGGTGGGTGCCAAACGCACTTGTTGGTGGAGAAGGTGCACAGCGGCCGGCCGTCCATGTCGAGCGGGAAGAAGTCGTCGACCACCACCTTACGCAGCGCGCCATTCCTGAGCGAGTCGTGTGCGTGTGCCGTCGTGTGTGTGTGCAGCGATGTTAGAAATGCATGCAATATCGACATCAATGCGAAGAATGCACTGGATTGGGCTGGGTAGGGGGGGGGGGCGGGTAGGGAAGTACCAGAAGAAGCGGAAGGCGTATTTGCCCGAGGGGTTGTAGACAGGCAGGCCCTTCTCGTTTTGGGGATGCACAGAGGGACCGAGGATGTCCTTGCCGAACCTGACGATGGCGATAGTTCCCCATATGTCAGCACACACGCACGCACGCACGCATGCCACACACACGAGCACACACGCACGCACGAGCACACACCGCACGCGCACACGACGTACTTGAGTTTGTGATTGGCGCCGGTGGCAAGGGTGGCAAGGAACGCGCAGTCGCCCAGAATGTTGCTCTGTGTCACGGCGTACGGACTCAACCCCTCGCCTGTGCGCACGGTGGTTTCGAACGGAACAAGGATCAGCGCAGGCGAGGTCTCACCGACCGGGTTGGTGGGGGCGGCGGAGTACCAATGAGCATCTTGGGCTGGGCGATGAACGACGAGAGTCGCATCCACGACGAAAACTTATTCGCTTGCTCCTAATTGTGCGCGTGTCGTGGTGTGTGTGTGTGTGCGGTGTGTGTGTGCGCGCGCGTGTGTCGTGTGTGTGTGTGTGTGTCGTGTAGAACATTACTAAGAGAGATGGTACATGACTGCAGTAACGGCGGCGAGTACCGGGACAAGCATCAACTGGCCGTCCGGATCCTGAAAGGCCCCAAAAGCAAAAAAAAGGAATGAGACCCAATGGACCGACAGTGCACTGCTGCGGCCCAGAGCTGGGTGGGTGCACAGTACCGTGTAGGCGATGTCGTCGGGGTAGAAGAAGAGCTCCTCGTCCAGGTCCCGCTGCGTCCACTCGGGGAACGCGCACGCGTGCGGCTTCACCGCCTCCCCGGCTGCTTCATCGCCTTCGTTGTCTTCGTTTTCCACCACGATCGTCTTCTTCCTCGCGGTGGCGGTCTTGCTCGTCGCCGTCGGCGCCTTTTCCTTCCCTTTTCTTCTGGTGAGCGACGCCTCCTCATCGCACTCTTCTTCTTCTTCCTCTCCGGTACCAGCCGACACCAGCGGCGCTTCGCTGTGGCGGAGGTCGGTGTGGCCTGGCACACAGAATAATAATAATAAAAATAACAATTATTATTATAATAAGGAAGGCCGTCAGCGAAAGGGTGCGACGAACCCTTGGTGTCGCTGGGCTTGGTCGGTTTGCGCGGTGACTTGACGGGTTTCTCCTTTTCGGCGGGCTTGGCCTGGGCACGCGGATGTGAGCGAATGGGCCGGGCGTGTGGAGATGGGAGAAGACGCCGGCGTCACTTACCTTGATCTCGGGTCCGTCTCGGCGGACCTTGAGCACAGTATTGGGATTCTCTTGTGACGTCTGCTCCATCCGACGCAGGTCTACATCAAACATTTCGATCGCGGGCTACGCATGCCACCACACCACACCACACCACACACCACACATACACACGCCACACACACGCACGCACGCACGCACGCACACACACACACACACACACACACAAACACAGCAACGCACACAACGCACACCGCAGTTTTGAAGTGTCAGCACCACCAGTAAACGTCAACGGGATGAAGCAGGAGCGCACCGTCATGAGGCGGACGCTGAGGGTGCCGAGGCACGCCTGATAGGCTTCCTCGAGCTCTGCCGTGGTGCTCTTGTCGTACTCCTGTGCGTGCGTGCGTGCGTGCGTGCGCATGCGTCACCACCGACCACTCTGTCTGTTCACCCGCCGCACACTGCAGCTGCAAACAAGGGGCCGTGCCGTGTGGGTCTCACCTCCCAGAAGCCGGCCTCACCAGGCTTGCCTCGCTTCTTGGGGTTCTGCCAGTACCATCGCACCTGGGGTGCGGGAGAGAACGAGAAGTTTTACGTAAAAATAAATCATCAATCAATTTAACAAAAATAAATAAAACCCAATAAATAATAAATAAAGAGTCTTCTCAGAACATGTTTCAGGTGAGGGCGCACCTTTTTCTTGCTCGCTGCCCAACGACGCACCGCCTCCATCTTGTTCGTAACAAATTGTTGTGTTTTTCAAATTCAACTGTTTTAAAATGTTTCAAACTTTTCAAATATTTAAAACCTTTTCATGGCGACTTGGCTCAGTTTCTTCAAAACTGGGCAGAACTTCAAGGAAAGAGCCTGCCGGCGCACAAGAGGCCCAGTTCTTTTCCTCCTTCTCATCCACAATCCATCCACATCATCATCATCAGCTGCAGCTATGCGCCGCACCTTCGCGTTCTGCTCTAGCAGCCCCCACTTTGCCAAAGTAGCCAGTAATGGCCTGGCGCTCAAGAGGGCGGCCCGCCCGCTCATCACGCTCTCGCCGGCTGCCACCGGCTGCATGCGCCCTCCCCTCACCTGCACCGCCTCATCTTCATCTTCATCCTCTTCTTCCTTCCTGCTGGCACACCTGAAATCTTCCGCAATCCGCCCCAGCAGCAGCAGCGGCAGGCGGCAGCTCTTCACAGCCACCTCCAACCGCACGGCAGCCAAGACCACCTCCACTACACCACTCCTCGCCAGCGGCGGCCATCGCTTCGGGGCGGCCACCAAGACCGCCATCCGCTCCATCCGCATCGAAGGGTTCGCTCTACACATTCTTTTTTTTTGAAATTTTTTTGTTTGTTTTTTGTATTTTTTTGATTTTTTTTGGTTTGATTCGTTTAGATTTTTTGTTTTTAATTTAATTTAAATTAATTTATTGCAATCAGGCGTCCGCCGCGTTCGTACAACGGCCTGATGGGCGACGTGGGCGTGGTCGCGCCGAGGGACAATACGGCGTGGCTCCTCATCGGCGGCCTGGCCGCGCTGGGCCTGGGCGGCATCGCCCTGGCCGGCTACGTCAACCAGGAGACCACCACCATACCGACCCACGGCGACCTCACCACGCACCGGCTGCGCGCCACCTACGGCTACATGCTGGGCGGGCTGGCCACCACCGCCGCGAGCGCGGCGGTCCTGTTTCGCGCGGGCGCGGCCCACCGCGTGGTGGCCATGAACCCGTGGCTCTTCATGGGCGCCAGCCTGCTCGGCACCATCGGGTCCCTCATGGTCATGCAGTCCCTCCCGCCCGAAAACACCGTGGCCAGGTGCGACACGACACACGACACACGACACGACACGCACGACACACAACGTTATGCTGACGTGGCATCAATAATGATGTGGGCAGACATCTGGCGTGGGGCGTGTTCAACGCGTGCAACGGACTGGCTCTGTCGCCGGTGGCGATGCTGGGCGGGGCGGTGGTCACCAAGGCCCTCGTGGCGACAGGCGCCGTGGTCGGCTCGCTGTCGCTGGTGGCCGCCGCCGCCCCGAGCGAGTCCTTCCTCTGGATGGGCGGTACGTACGATTATTGACCCAACCACCAGCATCAGATCAGCAGCTCACTTGTGTGTGTGTGTGTGTGTGTGTATGTGGTGCGTGTGCGTGTGCGGTGACAGGCTCGCTGGGCGTTGGCCTGGGCGTGGTGATCGCGGCCAGCATGGGCCAAATGTTCTTCCCGGCCTCGGCTTTCCTCACCGGCATCACCCTCTACGGCGGCCTGGTACGTGTTGCGTGCGGTCGTGTCTGGCCCGCGTACTAAAGGGCCTGCTCCCCCGTGTGTGTCGCCGTATATGACAGGGCCTGTTCGGGATGATGATGCTGTACGACACTCAGCGCGTGATGCACAAGGCCAAGACGGACGAGGTGTACGACCCCATGACGCAGAGCATCGCCATTTACCTCAACACCATCAACATCTTCGTGCGGATGGCCACCATCATGGCCAACAACCAGGGCAACCGCCGCCGCTGAGCCCCAACCCAACACTCAGCTTTTTGTTTGTTTGCACACAGCACAGCTTGCAGTCAAAAAGCACAGTTTTTTAGAATTGAGTTGTTCTGATCTGTACACCTGTTCACTTGGCCTCATACCAGGTGCTGCCGGCCTTGCCGTCCACGGCGAGCTCCACCAGCAGCTCCTCGCCCTCGGGCATGGGGTTCTGCATGACCTCGATCAATCGCGCCAGCGCCTCCTCCGCCGATTCCTGCACGACACGTCTCCTTCAGCACGACCGTGTGTCGTGTGTCGTGTGCGGTTGTGTCGTGTGTGTGTCGTGCGGTGTGAGGGCGTACCGCGGGACCCTCGAGCATGAGCTCGTCGTGAACCTGGAGGATCATCTTCCAGCCCCACCTTCGCAGCAGCTCGTCGTGATGCGCCAGCACCATCGCATTGATTACAATGTCCGCTGCTCCTCCCTATAATACCCATGCGCCGCACACGACACGCACGACACGCACAACACGACACGACACGCGTGTGTCAGTCTCTGGCGTGGTGCACTGTCAAGCCAGAGAGAAGCCCATTTCGATATGGTACCTGGATGGGCGTGTTGATGGCCGCACGCTCGGCGTGGCCGCGCATCATGGGCTTGGAGTGGCTGATGTCCGGCAGCGGCCGGTAGCGGCCCATGAGGGTCTTGGTGTAGCCCGTCTTGCGCGCCGTCCTGATCGTGTTCTCCTGCCACTGCAGTACCTCCGGTCGATCCGAGTACCTGCGCCCCAACTTTAAGCGAACCGCACACGCGTGCGCACACGCCACACGACACGCACAGGCGCGCGTACCATCGCTGGAGAGTGTCTTTGGCCTCCTGGAGGCTGACGCCCCAGTCCTTGGAGAGGCCCATGGCCGTCTTGCCGTAGGCGATCGAAAAGTTGAGCGTCTTGGCCCGCTTGCGCTCCGTCGCGAATATATCCTTCAGCAGCGGCACCGGCGGCTTGCCCTGCTCCCCGCCCGCGCACGCAGTCGTCAGCCACACCAAAGCGCAAGTCTGTGTGCGGTCGTGCGTGTGCGTGTGCGGTCATGTGCACGTGCGGTCGTGCGTATGGAAGAGGCACCTCTCCGCCCCACTCGAGCAGGACCTCGCCCTTCTGGATGGCCTCCTGCACGTGCGAATACATGCCAAGCGCCGTACGCGAATGGAAATCGCCTCCCTGTCGCGCGCGCGATGCGCGTAAGGAATTGAATTCCAAGAATGCACACACACACACACACACACACGACACGACACATGTGCGGGGGCGGTACCTTTTGGAAGGCGTCGATCATGGAGCGGCACTTGGTCATGTGGGCCAGCAGTCGCAGCTCCAGCTGCCCGTAGTCGGCCACGATCAGCTTGTTGCCCTTCTCGCACGTGAACGAACTTCGAATCTTGAATCTGGTCGCGGCCCCCCCCCGAAATTATCAGTCAGCACCCGTGTGTGCGCACGCGCACGCACCACCGCACACGCACACGCACGAAGGCGCGACGTACATGTCCTTCTCGAGGGCGGGCTGGTTCTGGAGGTTGGGTCGGCGACAGCTCAGGCGGCCCGTCTCGGTGTTGATGTTGAGCGAGGCGTGGATGCGGTTGTTCGGGTCGACTTCGTGCTGGAGGGGCACGATGAAGTTGGACAGCAGCGTGTCGATGGAGGACATCTTCACCAGCGAGTCGATGGCCTGACACGCCTCCGCGCCCGCCTCGCCCTCCGAGAAGGCCTTGTACGCCACCCCGTACTTTGGCGGATTCTGCTCGGCCACCTCAAGTTAGTGTCGCGTGTGCCGTGTGCCGTGTGCCGTGTGCCGTGTGCCGTGTGCCGTGTGCCGTGTGCCGTGTGCCGTGTGCCGTGTGCCGTGTGCCGTGTGCCGTGTGCCGTGTGCCGTGTGCCGTGTGCCGTGTGCCGTGTGCCGTGTGCCGTGTGCCGTGTGCCGTCGTCACGTACATCGAAAGGCTTGCCGGCCAATTGCTTGAGCACCTCGGCGCCGGCCGCAGGCCAGCCGGCCCCAGTGTGGGCTGAGTGACGAGAAAAAAAAAGGGGGGAGAAAAAGTCAGTTCAGTGCCGAAATGGTGAGAGACGTGTGGTGGGCGGGAATACCGATGGCCGGGAGACCGAAGCCGGAGATGCGGATCTGTCGCTTCTTCTTGACCTTGCCCGTCACCGGATCGGGAATGCCTGCAAACCGGTGCGTGATTAGGGGCGCACGACACGACACGACACACGCACACGAAATGCGACGCGCACGGCACACGGCTTGCGCGTGGGTACCTTCGTCGTTTTCGATGTCAAAGAGGCGTTCGGCGGGCATCATGTCGTCGGTCTTGAGGTTCTTGCACGGCGCGAAGAAAAGCTGCTGCTTCTGGGCATCGCTCGTGGGGTTCATGTACCGGGCGTCCTGCGTGTCCTCCGTCAGCATCGCACGACGCACACACACCCACCACACGACACACAAGGTGTAGGCCACGCAACGAAGAGAAGTAATAAACCGACCTGGCAGTACTCGCTGGCCCACTCCTTGAACCGGATCTGGTGCTTCTTGCCCTCGGCCACCGCGACCTGCTCGATCTCGGCTAGATAGTCTACGTTCACCTGATCACGACACGACACGACACGACACGACACGACACGACACGACACGACCAACGACACGACCAACGACACGACCAACGACACGACATGCGATGAGTTGATGTACTACGGCGAGACTCACGAATGAGGAGCAACGTTGGGTACCTTGATTCCCTCCCGCTCCATGTCGGTGAGGACCTCGCCGAAGGGCAGCCAGTAGTTCTGGTAGTAGTCCCACATCGTCCGATTGGCGCCCGGCAGCGCCTTCTTGCCCTCGTAGACCCACGGCATCTCCCGCAGCTGGTCCTCCAACTTGTCCCTGTGCATACCTCGCATTGTTACAGCAATCCGTGTCATGATGCGTGTGCGGTGGTGCGTGTGCGGTGGTACGCGTGTGTGCGTGTGCGTGTGCGGTGGTGCGTGAGCGTACCTCAGTTCGTAGGTGCCACGGGTATCGTAGGTCGAGTAGTAGATCCAGTTGTTCAGCGCCTCCATGCCGGCCTCTCCCCTGCAGATGCAGTGCAGCGCCGTTGTTAGGTCTCTCTCCGAACGCGGCGGCGCTCAAGCCGCGGGGGGGGAGTGCGCGTGCCTCTGGATGGCGTCGAGGTTGGGCACGACGATCTCCTTGCCCAGCGTGCCGTCCTTGAGCACCTTGTTCCGCCCAAAGATCTCTGGGCAATGAACGGCGTGCGGTGCGGTCATGTCAGTGTCACACCCAATCGGTTGACAAGCGCAGGGCTGGATATAAGTGAGGAGGAGAAGCGGCGCACCTTTGATGGATCGCTTGGTCTCGCCTTCGAGCAGCTCGCCGGTGAGCGCCTCGAGCGAGTACTTCTTGCCCACGCTCGTCCGCGCCGCGTCCCACAGACGCGCCCTGATTGTGGCGTGCGTGCGTGTGTTAGGCGACAGCATAGAATGGAATGGTATACAAAAAAAAGCGGATTGAGCGCGGCGTACATGTGAATGGTGTCGCCACCGAATCCCTTCACGTCGATCCCGTGCCGCCACATCATGGCTCGATCGAAGCTGTAGTTGTGCCACACCTGAGAGGGAGGAAAAAAAAGGAATCAGCCACCAATTGAAGACGATGATTGATTCCCCCAATATTGAACCCACACTCGTGCATGCATGCATAGAAAGAGAGGAGCACCTTTTTGATTCCTTCATCTTCAAAGTACTCCTTGAAGAGGTCGAGCACCCCGCGGGCGTCGTCCATGTTGTCGATCCACAGGTTGGGACCTGCGCGTATTTGGCCACCCACGTTTGTAATCCATGAATTGTTCGCATTATTTTAAAATATTAATAAAAAAACACATATAAATAAAAATAAAAAGAACAAAAAAAGAGTAGCGGGAGTCTCCACTTACCGGTGCCGAAATCGACGTCGGGTCCGCAGTACACGGACGCGCAAATCACTTCGCCGTAGTTGTAGGGGCTCTGGTGCTTCACCTCTGCGTGCGCGTGCGATGGTGGCGTGAGTTTGGTGCTGTTTTCTACAATCGCGCGTTCAACGCGGGTACGACATACCGATTTTGATGGCTTCCGTGTCGCAGGCGTGGTAGCGCTCCCTGACGCCCGGCGACCGCAGGATGCGCAGCACCCGGCGGGCCTCCTCCGGAGTGTCCACGATCGTGACGCCCTCGATCTCCACCTTTGGCCTCTTCAACGCCACCGCCACCGACAGAGGCTGTGACATCGGCAACGCCTCCTTAGTGTCGGCAATATGTTGTGTGCGCGCCTGCGTGTGCGATGGTGTGTGTGTGTGTGTGTGTGGTTACCGCTGGCGGAGCTTGCACGGCCTCTTGAGTTGGGTTGTCCAATCGTGGGCGGCCGCGCGTGGATGAGGTTCGCGGGGCAGCTTCAGCCGCCTGCTCCGCCGCGGTCGGTGGGCAGATCTTGTCCAGCTTCGAAATGATCGATCCGAACGAGTGCTCCCTCAAGAACGCCAAAAACTGTCGACAACACGGTAAATCACACACGACACACACGACACACACGACACACACGACACACACAACACACACGACACACACGACACACTACTGATTTAACAAACCTTGTCGCGATTGATGGGCTGTCGCTGCAGGTCTTCGAGCAGGACGGGCATGGGGATGTCGTGGCGCAGCTCCACCAGCGCCAGCGCGCGGCGAATAGTGTCCACGTGCTCCTCGATCCTGCAATGTCATCACCGCCTTTAGTTGTTGTTTGAATCGTCATTAGCACGCGCACCGGCTGAGTGGGGGTTAGCGTACAGCTGTCGCCTCTTCTTGTTGGTGATCTTGGCCGTGTTGGCAAGCAGCTCCTCGACCGAGTTGAACTCGCTGATCAGCGCAGCGGCGGTCTTGGGTCCAATTCCAGGAACGCCGGGCACTGAGGCGCAGGAGAGACCAAGAGAGGCTTAGCCTTGCCTTGGTGGCGCGAGCGCGCACATTGGCCAACGAAATGGCTGTATGTACCGTTGTCTCCGTCGTCGCCCATCAGGGCGAGTACGTCTCTGACCTGCCTGGGCTCGACCTGAAACTTTTTGCGCACCTCTGCTTCATCTGTCGGGCGGCAAAGTGATTCGCGTCAAAGTCGCTCATAGTTGATTCAACTGGTGTGTGTGTGTGTGTGTGTGTCGTGTGTGTCGTGTGTTTTACCGAATGTCTTCTTGCCCACGGGGTCGTAGAGCTTCACTGTGGGACCCACGAGCTGCATCAGGTCCTTGTCCCTGCTGATGATCGTCACCTAATGGGCGTTCGAGTGAGACCTCGTGTGCTTTCTAGCACCAACGGTGGGTTCGCGAGGGAGTACGCACTCGGTGGCCCTGAGCCTGCGCGACCTTGGCGTAGCACGCGATCAGGTCGTCTGCCTCCATGCCCTCGGCCTATCGACTGTACGGTGAGCCAGACAGACAGCTTTGGGGCTGGTATCGCCGTACCTTGATGGTCTCTATGCCGAGAGCTCGCGTTGCATCGGCCACCAGCGGAAATTGCTTTCTGAGCTCCTGTTGTTGTGTTGTGTTGTGTTGTGAGGCTTGGCTACTGGCAAGTGAAGCTGGGGCGAGAGTAGTGGCTTAAGCGTACGGCGGAAGGGGCCGACCGGTGCGCCTTGTACTCGCCGTACAGCTGCTTGCGGAACGAAGGCCCCGAGTCCACGAACACGCCTGTGGCCACGATAGCGCACATCACAAATAGAAATAATATGGATTTAAATCATAATAGAAATTAATTTAATGGGATCAGATGCCAATGGATGTACCGATGTAGTCCGCTCTGAAATGGGGATCTTGCAGCATCTTGAGCATGGAACGCGTGTAGGAAAAGAGGGCGGTGACGGCCACCCCCGCACCGTTCGTCATCTCGGCAATAGGCGTGTGGTAGGCGCGGTGGGTGAGGAAGGAACCATCGATGAGGATGGTGTGAGGCATAAGCTCGGCCGGTGCAGGTTGATTGAGTTCACCATTGATCTTAATCGCGCCATTTGGCTGCGATTGCTGCGATTCGAGAACAGCGCGTTCGATTTCCGTCGCGATCGCGATGGCAGGCGCTGGTGCAGCACGTGTTGATGCACTGCGGCGAAGGAGGGGAAGAGATGTCGCCGTCGAAGGCTGAAATCGACCTCGCATGGTCATTTTAATCGTCGAGATGGAGGATGAAAGGGGTCGTTTGGGCAAATCTAGAACGTGCAGAGCTGCAGTTGATCGTAGCACGGTGCCCCCTGCCATAGACGCAAAGCGAGAGGTGCCCTTGGTGATCCATGCATCAGCCGCCCGCAGCATGTTGCTGCTGTATGCGCTTGGTGAGAAATCTGTAAAAGTTGTTTTTATTCTTGGAAATACTTGGTCTTGGGAGGATGAAGAAGGAGGGAAGTGTTTTCCTCTTTACAGGCTATGTGCAGTATGTACACGACAGACCAAATGGTGGCTGTGCAGGGTGATGATTTACAGCTGGACCAGCAAGGGCTGATTGTGATGGTGGTGCTGATGGGTGGGAAGAGTCGTGGTGGGGACAGGCTGCAGCTTGGCTGCCACCTCCTCCTTCTTCTTGGTGTGCTCCCTATCATCGATCGGACTGCGACACACTGGACACACCGTCAACCTACATGAAACACAAAGCAGGGATTGGTTAGGCAAGGTACAAACCACATTGTGTGTGTGGTCAGTGTGTGGTCTGTGTGGTCTGTGTGTCGTGGTCACAGAAGCCAAACATCAGACACCGTACCGTATGGAACAAGCAAAGCAGATTTCCTGATGGCCGCAGGGATGGAGCTTGATGTCATCCTCCTGTGCGTAGCAGATCTTGCACAGCTCGTCGTCGTCCAGTTGGTCTGTGGGGTCATCGACTACGCCGCCCTGTGCTCCGGCGTGCGCGGACCACGCCATGCCGGCGCCGGGTCGCTCGCCCTCCGCCGCGCTCTCGGTACTCTCCTCCAGCGCAATGTCGTAGCGCGTCGCGAACTCGTTCACGCTCTGGTAACCCGCGGGCTGGAATCTGCGAATGATGAGTGCGGTCAGTAAACGTTGTGCAAAGCACGACACGCACGACACACGTGTGCGACGTACTTGAAGGGTTCGGAGCCAAAATTGAAGCGACACTGCTGGAAGGCGCCGAGGCTGAGGGCCGGGTAGAAGGCCAGCCCGTGGCGCACGCCGACAAAGGTGCGGGAGCCCAGCTCCCGGCTGAACTTTCCGTTGAGCGTGAACGCCATGACCCCGTGCTTCGTGTCGAAGAGGCAGCCGACCACATCGCCGGCCTTCCACCGCCTCTCCTTGCGCCCACACTGCGACACGCACGCACACAGCTCAGTCAGCACACCATAAAAACGCAAGGGGCGTAGGCCTATGAGATTAGCGGCATACCGGTGCGGATGTGGCTGCGTGCCACGCCTGCCTGCGGCACCCGTCGTAGGCGTAGGAGAAGAAGTCGTCGCCGATGCCCGAGCCCTCCTATACAGGCCACATAGTTAGCATAGCATTCCTTCGTCAGTCGCCCTATGAGGCGCGAGTTAGGTACCTCAGGCTTGAAGACAGAGTCCTTGGTGGCCCACCCGACCTGCATGATGCCGCCCGTGCGGAGGGTGACCTCGTAGTACCACCTCCCGCCCTCCCTGTACCCCCTCCCATTTCTACGCGTGCCGTAGTGCCCACTCAAAAGTGAGCTCATCTAATGGAAAATAAAACACTATTGTACAAAAAGAAAAGAATGAACGTACCTATCTACAGCTGATACATAGCAGTTGGCCCTGATGCTCCCGAACGACGCCGAATCGTTCCGCACCTCGTAGCAGTCCGCGGAGAGCTTGATGAAGTTGGTCCGGTCCGCGAAGCTGAGCGTCACCTGCTTGCCCGGCGGCATCCGGCTCTCGAGGTCCATTTCGTGGAAGTCCAGCTCGTCCCCATCCTCCTCCCCGTCTCCACCAGCACCACCGCCGCCGCCGCTAAGCGCCTCCGCCGCCGCAGCTTCTTCTTCTCTTCGCCGCCGGCTTCGACTGCTCTTGCTGCCTCGCCTGGCCCCGTTGTGTTGGCTGCTCACCTGGCGCTCCTCCGCGGCGGCGGCAGCCTGATCGCCGTCTCCCATCGCATTGGTCGCAGTAGTGGCGGCGGCAGCAGCGACGTGGAGAATCTTCTTTGGCTTCTTCTCACGTCCGGGCGTGTTCTCCTCCCGGTCACTGTCGCTGCTACTGCCTCCCCCGCTCCCGGCATGAACGCCACGTTTCCTCTTCCGCGCGGCGGCGGCGGCGTCAGTGCCGACCACGCCAGAGCGCGTCGATCCGTGGGCCAGGCCCCACTCGCACACGAGCCGGAGCTGGTGGTCGTTCGAATAGTGCAACAGCTCCTCGAGCCGCTCGAAATAGCCCAGCTGATGAGGATCAAGAAGTGAGCCAACAACAACAAACAACAACAACAACAACAACAACAACAACAACAACAACAACAACATGAGAGTGAACGAAAGCGAGGGGTGGATGGTCACCTCGCTGATACGGCGCGCGTTGTCGGGGCCCGTCTTGCTGAACTTTTCCAACGTGAGCAGCGCGTGCATGCAGACCTGCAATGATTCACGGACAGAGTGAGCATGATGTGAAATTACAGTGTTCGCACACAAAGACGCGGAAAAGGAACCGACCTCGGAGTCGGTCGTGTAGCGGTGGTTGGCGTTGTCCATGAGGAACAGCAGCACGTCGTCGGTCAACATGCGCGACCCAACACGCACTGCAACGAGTTCACACGAAGAGTGAGACACGTGAACATTGCGTGCGGTGTGCGCGGGCCGCATGCAAAGATTGCGTACGATCGAATTTGCCGGCGAAGGCGTTCCACGCCACCAGCGCATTGCGCATTTGGCCGGCGTTGGCCTCGTCGCGAGCGAACGACAGCAGATCCTCACTCGTGTTCAGAGCCCTGTAGAACATCGCAACACACCATGGTGAGCCAAAAGGAACAACAACTGCTCTGGTGTTCTGCGTGTGCGTGTGCGTGTGCGTGTGCGTGTGCGTGTGCGTGTGCGTGTGCGTGTGCACCTTCGCGAGTCGCACAGGGGCATGAGCTCCATGAGCAGGAGAAGCTGGGTGGCGGCGTCTGTGCGCTGGCCGTCCTTCCTGCGCCACTGCTTCTGGCCGAACTTGCGCGCCACCTTCATCACTATCTCCACCCACATTTCGTCTGTTGCACACCACGCCCACACGGCACACGGCCAACGACACAGAAGGAGGACATGAAGTGAGTGTCGGGCCATTACATGTTGTGAATCCAGGACCACCAGAAAAAGAAGACACCAACCAACCAACCAACCCCAACAAAGTAAGTAATAGTCGAGAACGGTTTCATGTATCACTGAGAAAACGAATTGTGCTGACGACCAATGCGTGGGAGTCCCATCCTGGGCTATCGCCAACGCGTTCGTGGAATTTGTGGTGCTGTAGAATTACACGGGCCGTGGTGACGGTGCTGGTAGGCGGATGGGTGGTGCTGGGGGGGGGGTACGCGTACCGTCTTCGGCTTGGGCGGCCAGGGTGCGCATGGCGGTGTGTGCCGTCTGGTCGTCGTCATCCATGCACTGCTTGATGGCGTCGGTCACGTCCTTGTCGTTCGACGGCCAGCAGCACGCCGCCAGCAGACACACCAGGCTCGTCGACATCTTCCCTGTTCTCCCTCTCTCTCTGCCTCGCTTTGTGGTGGCAAACGCTTCAAGTGATATATTTTGATGCTCTACTTCTAGAGAGGGGGGGGGCTCGGTCAGTCAGCAAGGCTGCAATAAATAATAAATAAATGAAATAGAAACGCATAAAACAAAAATTGATGTGTAGGTAGGTACTGGGTGTGGGCTGCTGGATGAGCGCTTGGGGCGATGTGCAAGGATGGTGAAGGTGAGTGCTGGCGACTTGTGTTTACCTTTAGTTTGGGTGGGGGCGATGTGGTTGACAGGCGCGTGCACCGCAAGCCACTCGCCGCAACGCCTTGCCCGAAATTTTCCTGCGACGTTTACCCCACTTTGACCCTCAAATTTTCAGCAGCCTTGGATCCGTCTCGCAAACAATTTCGTTCCATTCTTCACATATTTCGTGGTGATCTCCCATTCATGCACAGTCAAGAGCATGCACCCCTTCAATCCACTCCACAAGGAACCTTACCTATGAAGTGAGAGTGTTCTTATTATTGGTTCAAAAGAGATTGAAGTTAGCCTGTCCTTGACCTACTGGTTATCATCATTGGGCGAAAATACATGCTTGTTGACAACCTTCAGTGTAGAAAGATACTGGGCGTTCAGCTGTTGCAATATCGAGAGTATATTGCATGCTTCCAATTGGCAGAACAGATGGGCGTGACATGTTCAGAAAGACGACACCGCCGTGGCCGTTTCTGGCGCCCCTTCGCTCGACTTTGGCTTGATGGTCCCGGGCAAAAACCCCAATTGCACACTGTCTGCCTCAAGGCCATTGGCTGCGAACCACACCGCGTGCCCCGCAGGACGTTCGTGGTGAACTCGCTCTCGCCACATACTGCCATATATCTTCCCTCCGCAGCTCACGCATCATGGCGTCGTGGGGTTTGAGGTCCCCGCGGTGCCCGGTGCCTCTACTCCTCTTCTTTCATCTCTTTTTATTTCTGTCAATCTCCTGCGTCGACGTATCGTCGGCCTCCGTGCCTCGTCTCTGCGCCGTTGTCAACTATCACTCCGGTACACCTCCCCCCCCCGTTCTTCATCGTTTCGTTTTTGTCTTCGCTTTCGTTCTTTGTCAATCTTCAAGTTCCGATCCGTTGTTTTTTTAAATCCGTAAATGCATCGTTTAAAGGCCCGTTTATTATCTTCTTTTGTGAAGATCCTTTGTCGTCTGCAGCAGATGGTTAAGATCAACATCATAATCATAATTTTAATATTTATTTTATGGCACGTGCACAGCAACCGCTCCGGGACCGGTCGATGGCTTGGCCACGCCCACCACCGCCGCGACGTCGTCAGCGTGGAACGACCTCGCCTGGGTGAGGGACGCCTGCGCCCGCAACGCCGGCGCCTCGTTCACCTTCGCCGACGCCGACTGGCAACCGCAGCCGTCGCTCCGCATCTCGACCGACCTGGCCCAGCTCCAGGGCCTCGCCTCCTCCAACGGCCGCGTTTGGCGCTCGGTGACCGCGCGCCTGTCAACCGACGGCGCGCGGCTCGAGCTGCTCAACATCACCATCGCCTTCCGGCTTACCCTCGCCAAGCCCGGCTTTGCCAGCGTGAGCGAGCTGTCGGGCGTGGTGACCAAGACCCTCGCCGGCGGCCTGCCGCTCGAAGCCGCCGCCAGCCTGCCCATCGGCTGGTACGGCGCCCTCCAGAAGCCCATCGGCGCCGCTGCGGGCTCGCTGGTGCTCTACGACGCCGATCTGTTCGACGGCACGCTGCCCGCCGCGGTTGTGAGTGGTGACGCGATCAGCGACGAGCTGCTCGAAGTGGCCGCCACGGTGCGCGAGGCCGCCGGCAGCCCGGCCCTACGGCAGGTGCTCTTCGACACGACGCCGTCGGCGCTGACCGACGCCACGCTGCGCGGAGCCTTCCTCAACGCATCGTCGCTCACGCCGGTGACCGCGGCCGACGCCGTGGGCGGCCAGGTGTGGCGCTCGGCCTCGGCCGCGGCTGCCACGGGCCTCGTCTTGCAGAGCCGGGCCGAGTGCCGCGGGGCCTCGTGCGCCGGGCTGCCTTTCGTCGCCGCGCTCGAGCAGATCGTCAACGCCTCGGTCCACCGCCAGGGCGACACCAACCTGTGCGCATCGCCGGCGGTGGTGATCGACTCGCTGCGGGCGTGGCTAAGCGTCGATCTCGCTGTCATGTACTCGCCCGCGGCCGGCGCCGACTTCACACACGCGTCGGTGCGGGTGCGCGGCATGAGCGCACGCAGCGAGGCCCTGTTCCGCTGCACCGGCCAGAACGGCTCGTTCATCGGCATTGCGCTCTCCGTGACGGCGCCACTGAGCGACTCGGTGGCCGACTGGCCCCTGTCGGCGCTCACCGACCAGCGCACGTCGGTGGGCCTCCTGCGGGCCATTCCGCTCGCTAGCCACGGCTGGATGGCCGGCAGCGTGCTGCGTGCGACCGAGAAGAACGGCACGGCCGGGCCTACGGTGGAGCTCTTCACGGTGGCGCCCGGCGATCTGTTCGGGTCGGACGGCGGCGGCCTTCTCCTGGCCGACCGCGCGCTGAGCGTGTCGACACTCAAGGCCAACGCGACGGCGTTCTTTGCGGCCGTGCAGCGCCGGCTGGCGACGGACGTGACACCGATCGACGCCCGGCTAGCGGACCTGTTCCCGAGCGAGTCTGCGGCGGTGTCGGCCGCGGTCGAGGCCTACGCCGCGCAGGCGCTGCAGCCGACCTGGCTCGGATTCCTCGCATACCACGCCCGGCGCCACCAGCACCAGCTCTTCGTGTCCGCCGACGGCCAGCTGGCCACTCTGTCGGTCGACTTCGGCCTCCCGCCCACGCAGCTCACCGCCGATTCGGACAACACCACCACCGCGGCCACCATCGTGGCCCAGGCCAACCGTGCGCTCGACGCGCTGGGCAGCGCCGTCAAGGCCAAGTACGGTGGCATCACCAACTCCTACGTCGTGCCGACCGTGTCGTCGGACCTCTCCAACGCCAAGGCCAGCCTCACCGGCTTCTTCACCGCGGCCGTGACCATCAACTGCTCAACGAGCGCGGTGGCCGTAGAGGTCGCGCCGCAGTACTCGGCCGTGGCCTCGCTCAAGGCCGACTTCGCGGGCGTGTCGAGCGCGCTCTTCACCGCGGCCGACATCACCTACGACTTCTCCTCGGCCGCCGGCGCGGCGGCAACCATCAGCGCCACGCCGGCGTCGGCCCTCCAGGGCGCCATGGGCAGCACGGTGGGCCTCACGCTCGAGGGCCAGCTGGCCATCGACGGCCCGTGGACCAACGTGTCGGCCCTCGGCCCGCAGCTCCAGACCATCGCCAACGGCGTGGCCGAAGTGACCTGGGCGCGCGGCGTCGTGCGACCGTTCGTCGACGTCGACTTTGGTCGCATGTCGGCAAGCACGCGCCTGGCCGACATGATCTCGGCCCTTGGGACCAACATCACCGCCAACGTGGCCCCGGCCATGCGCGGCTGGGCGCTGGCGCAGCGGATGAAGGCCGACATCGAGGCCCACGCCGCGGGCGACGCCACCGTCGTGGTGCACGCCCACGTGGTGCCGCTGGTCGGTGCATCGCAAACGATGGACGTGTCGCTGGTGGTGCATAGCCAGCGGCGCGTGCAGCTGTCGAGCGCTGGCACGACCTGGGACTCGATCGCCGACACGGCGCGCCTGGCGATCCCGCTCGCGCTCACCACGCGGCTGCGGTTCAGCGTGAGCGCGTCGGCCGCAACGGGGGTCTCGTTCGGCGTGCGCGGCGGCGGTCGGCTCACCGGCAGCTGGGCGATCCCCTTCACGTACCACATGCTCTCGGGCGCGGTCACCAACGGCTCGGCCGCGATCGACGTCAGCCTCCCGGGCGGCGGCGCCAAGCTGAGCCTCGGCCTCGACGTCGCCGCGTCGCAGCCAACGACTGTGAGGAATGCGACGAATTCAACGAATTCCAAGAATCAGGAGCCGCTGGCGCTGCGGGCCGAGATCTCGGACGACGATCTGGTGGACCAGCTGGTGCCCGCCGTGCTGGTGGTCACGCAGGCCGCCGATGGCAGCGACGCGACGATGGGCACGCGCACCATCAGCCCGTCGCGCCTGGTGTCGGCCCTGGGCGAGGCCCTTCTGCCCGCCCTCACGCAGGCCTTCACCGGCGCGCTCAACATCGCTGTGCCGCCGCTCAAGAAGCCGCTCGGCTCCATCACCCAGTTCAACGAACTGGTCACGGCCGTCAAGCCGTGGCTCACCACCGCGGCCGACCCGACCCTCGGCGCCGCGCGGCTGGTCCAGTCCGCCACCTTCTGCACTGCCACCGGCGCGTCCACACCGCTCGCCTTCAACGTGAGCATCAACGACTTCGACCCGGTGCGCTGCGAGGCCGCCGCGCCGCTGGCGCCGACCAGCCTCGACGCCCTGCGGGCCGACATCGCCACGATGCTGGCCGGGTGCGGCCTCGCGGGCTATCTCGAGGCCCAGGTGATCGACGTCGAGCGCGTGGTCACCCCCAACGAAAGCGACCGGCAGTGCGGCCACGTGGGCCTGTTCCCCGCCGTGCCGGGCATCGTGTGGAACTTCGCCATCGCCACCGATCCGATGCCGCCGACGGCCAACATCACCTTCGGCACCTCGACCTACATCTCCACGCCCAAGCCGGCCTTCGCGACGTGGACCGACCTGGCGCGCCTGCTGGCCGCGGTCCTGACCCACGACGATGCCGACCCCGCCGACGCTGCACTGGTGGCGGTGCCCGAGTGGACCACGGCCGAGGCCGGCGTGGTGGTGCCGCCCGAGCTGGCCGCCTACTACCCGCCGCGGCTGCCCGCCGTGGCTATCCGCGTCGAGGCCCAGCACACTGCGGTCGACCACCAGTTCGAGCTCGACGCCCAGATGAGCACCGCCGACGGCGTGCTCCAGCTCCAGTCGCACACCGACGTGGGCACCGGCACCGTGCGCTCGTCCCTGTCGGCCGCCTTGGTGACCGTGTTCGGCGCGCCGCCGCTGGGCGGCCGCGGCAACATCAGCCTCAGCACCAACTACGACGGCGTCAACACGACGGCCAACGCCACGCTCGTGCCCGCCGCGCCCGACAACACGTTCGCGCTCATCATGGGTGCCCAGATCCTCTCGACGTCGGCCCCGCCGGCCAACGTCGGCGCGCGCCAGCTCATCACCCTGCTGCCCGGCAAGCTGCTGAGCGCGGCCCTGATCGACGACGTCGTGCCCCAGATCGACCCGGCCCTGCGGCCCATGTTGGCCGTGTACGAGATGCCCAGCGACGGGCTAATCTACCCCGTGACACAGATCCGCTTCGACCTGGGACCCCACCAGCTGGCCGACGGGCGGTGGGCGGTGCCGACGGCGTTCGGCCTCGAGGCCACGTCGCAGCTGCCGGCCCTGACCAACGCCTCCAACGTGCCCTCGCAGTCGGTGGTGCTGGCGCGCGACGTGGCCATGCGCCTCGCGACGCGGGTCGAGACCGTGGGCGCGCTGCTCGACGGCGAAGGCCGCAGCAACCGGCGCGCGGCGCCCACGGCCGAGGGCCGCATCGCCATTCTCGGGTTCACGTCGGGCCAGCACGCGGCGCTGAGCCAGGTCGAGGTCGAGGTCAAGGGCGTGGGGCGCTACCAGACCATGGCCGAGCTGTACCCGCCGCGCGAGACCTTCTTCGACCAGTTCGCGGTGGGCGTGGCCCTCAACAACTCGGCCGCGGTGGGCGGCCTGCAGATGACCGACCTCCAGCGCGTCGACACGGACCTGCCCGACGTGCGATTCGCCCAGGAGGGCCGCTGGGCCGTCGACAGCCTCGATGCGCTCAAGGCCCTGACCACGCAGGCGCTCACCAGCTGGACAGCCGAGTTCAACGGCACCGCGCAGGCTGTCGACACATTCCGCAGCCTGTTGCATACCAACGACTCGATCTGCACGTGGATGGGCCTGGCCTCCAACGTGTCGCAGGCCATCGTCACGGCCAAGGCCGCCGGCGTGCGGCTGCCCTTCAGCCAGCACGGCTTCGGGTCGCTCCTGTCCGACAGCCTCGCCTCGTCGCTCGCCGAGCTCCACACCAGCGTGTGCGTCAACCACGAGCCCTTCTCGCTGGGCACCTACTGCCGCGTGGCCCGCGGCGCCTTCGGCGGCACCACGACGGCCTGCGCCAACGCGACCCTGTCCGAAGCGGGCCTCACGGTCGACCTGGTCGTGGTGCCCTTCAACCGCTCCTACGTCGACCAGCTGCGGTTCGACACCAGCTCGCTCTTCAACAACGCGCAGGTGCCGGTGGGCCTCGGCGCCAGCGGCGACCTGTCCCTGCTGGGCGAGTTCGACTTCCGCATGCGGCTGCTGGCCCGCTTCGGCGGCGATGAAGGCGGGGTGTCGTTCGGGCTCGACCCGGCCGGGACCTACTTCTCGGCGCGGGCCGGGTTCGACGTGCAGGGCACGCTGCGGTTCTACTTCGGCCCGGTCTCGCTCAACCTGCTCACGGCCCACGCCTGGCTGGGCGACCCCGCCACCCTCATCGTCCGCCTCCTGCCCACGTCAGCCGCTGACGTCACCGCGCTCGAGTTTGTTTCCGCCGAAAAGTCGTTGTCGTCGACAGAGCTTGTGACGGTCGACACTTGGTCGAGCCCCGAGGCCGGGGCCTTGATCGACACGCAGGGCCGGCTCGAGATCTCGGGCAATGCGGGCTTCACGGCCGTGGTGGGCTTCAGCACCAGCGTGCAGTGCTCGATCGACGTCGGCGTGCCCGACCTGGGGGCCTTCCTCGCCGGCGGCCAGCGCCCCAGCGTGTCGCAGCGCGGCTGCGGCCAGGGCTTCGCGCAGGAGCTGCTCAAGGCCCTCCTCAAGCAGTCCCTGCTGGACTACTTCTCGTCGCGCTTCCTGGCCCAGTGGGAGTCGGGCTTCGCCCAGTTCCTGGGCCGCCTGTTCGGCCACACCGGGCCGCTGCGGGCCGGCGGCCCCGTGGTGCCGCTGATCGACAAACTGGTCACGGCGCTGATGACCGACAGCGTCGGGCGGATGAACGGCGCCGACGCCATGAACCGGCTCACGACGGCCATCAACGGCATCACGACGTCGCTGCTGCAGCGCAACACGACGGCCGACATGCAGAAGCTGGACCAGCTGGTGCTCACGCTCATCACCAAGGCCCTGTGCCGCGAGCTGGCGCCGGTGCTGGCCGAGTGCCCGGCCGTGCCCGACGTCACGTCCCCCGAGTACGTGTGGCCGCTCCACTTCCGCGGCACCAACTCGCGGCCCCTCGCCCGGCTCGGGTTCAGCCTGGGCGGCCACGGCTTCGCGGCGCTCGACCTCAAGTGCGCCGGCGCGGTGGTCATGGAGTGGGACCTGCAGTTCGTCATGGCCTTCAACCGCACCCACGGCCTCGACTTCCGCTTCGACCAGTCGCCCGAGGTCTTCACGGGTGACATCGCGCTCGAGGTGGTGGGCGGCTGCGGCCTGTCGGGCACCATCGGCTGGATCGGGGCCGACCTCTCGATCGACCAGCCCAAGCTGCTCGAGGGCCGGCTCACCGTCGACCCCCGCTTCCAGGTGGACCTCGCCGTGCGGGCGCAGATCTACGGCAAGGCCGAGCTGGGCCTGGGCGGCAAGCTGGCCGAGCGGTTGGCCCACGCGCCCGACGCGCTCGACGCCCTGCCCCACTGGCAGGCCGCGCTCAACCTCACCTGGGGCTGGGACCTGCGCGCGCCCAACCAGGCGCTGGTGCCCAAGTTCGCGCTGACCGACATCCGCTTCTGCGTGGGCCGCCTCCTGTCGCACGTCGTGTCGTCAACGGTGTCGCAGACCGTCGACCGGCTCCTGCGCCCTCTCGAGCCCGTGCTCGGCCCCAACGGCCTGCTCCTGCGCCCGATCCCGGGCCTCTCCGACGTGTTCGGCCACGACCTCAACATGATCCAGCTCCTCATCTACGCGTGCCGGGTCAACGGCGAGTGCCAGCTCAACGGCGTCGTCGACGCCCTGCGCACCTTTGTCGACATCTACCACAAGCTCGACACCGTGCGCCAGATCGCGGCCGCGCTCGAGGGCGACGGGTGCAACGTCGTCCAGCTGGTGCGCGACTTCGTCGTCGACTTCAACACGCCGGTGCCGATCCCCATCTACGACGGCGCCATCCCGCCCGGCGGCCTCCAGTTCAACGGCACCGCCGACGCCAACCCGCAGCTCAAGCACACCGTGTCGGCCTTCTACGCCGGCGTCGTCACCTCGGGCCACTTCGGCGTGCGGCTCTACATGTTCGACAACATCGGCCAGAACCTGGTGAGCGCCATGCTCGGCCAGGACTTCCCGCTGGCCGGCGTCACGCTGCCCGACGTCACCTTCTTCGTGTCCAAGGAGTGGTGGATCCCCGTGTGGGTCTTCCCGCGCGTCGATCTGGTGCTGGGCGTCAACGCGCGGTTCACGCTGAGCTTCGGCGGCGTGGCCCTCATGTACTCGGGCCTGGCCGACGCCTACAAGACCGGCTCGCCGGGCGCCCTCTTCGGCGCCCTGGCCCTGCCCACCCGCAACGACGACGGCTCCGAGCGGTGGCCCGTCCAGGCCGCCATCGGCTTCAAGGGCGGCGTCGGCGTCAGCATCTTCATCTTCCGCGGCGAGGTCTACCTCACCATCACGCTCGAGGGCGACGCCGCCTTTGTCGACATCGACAGCGACGGCTGGGTCACCTTCAACGAGATCGCCTACCTGGTGCGCCTCAACGGCATCAAGGGCGCCGTGCGCCTGCGCCTCGTCCTGCGCGCCGGGTTCGGCATCAAGATCCAGGCCTGCATCCGGCTGCTGTGGAAGCGCAAGTGCTGGACCCTCTTCAACAAGCACTGGGACCGGTCGTGGCCGCTCTACGACAACTCGCGCCGCCTCTTCGACTCCATCGCCGCCGCCTCGGGCTCGCAGTCCTCCGTCAACCTCGGCATGGTCGCCTTCAACCCGCAGACCGGCCACTCTGCTCTCGGCTACGATGATGATGATGATGGTGATGGCTACTACAACGGCCACGGCGTCATCGTCAACGATGATGATGACGGCACGATGATGATGAACACAACGATGATGACGATGATGAAGCCGATGGCGGAGATGCGTGCGGCGGACCAGACGGACCTGACGTACTCGATCTACCAGACGCCGGCGGGACTGACGGTGGACTTTGCGCCGATGGGCATCGGGGTGGGCTCAGGCGCGCCGCACCTGTCGCGCGCGGGCCTCCCCTCGGGCCAGGCCATCGCGGCCTACGGCAACCCGGGCGCCACGCCCTTCACCTGGGCCGTCGGCTACGTGGCCCAGACTGTCGCCATGCCGGCCTATGCCACCGCCACCCTGCGCTTCCTCGTCTCCGAGTACCCCGGCGTGAGCGCGATGACCGTGTCGCCGCAGGTGGTGTCGCCCGACACGGCGCCCGGCGTGACGGTGTCGACCTGCGCGCTGCTCCACGTCGCGCAGCCCACGACGGGCGTGGCCTACGGCGTGTGGGGCGTGCCCTGCGCGACGCTGCTCGAGTCGATGGTGACCAACAACGTGTCGCTCGCGGGCGCCGCGGCGGCCTACCCGCACCCGCTCACCCTGTCGGGCGAGGCCTGGGCCGTGTCGAGCACCATCACCGCCACGCAGCTCACGATCGCGTCGGGCTCGCTCTCGGCCATCGACGGCCCCAGCGCGGCCCAGGTGACGCTGCCGGCGGCCTACCAGGTCCTCACCGTATCGGGCGACCTCCAGCGGCCCGCCACCTACACGCTGGCCGACGTGCGGGCGGGCGTGACCGCGAGCGTGACGGGCGGCGTGGCCGACGATCTGTTCGTGGTCCAGGGCATGCACCTCCTGCACGGCAGCACGACGATCGCGGGCGGCGCGGGCGTCGACGCGAGCGAGGTGACGATTGTGACCGACGCCGGCGTGGAGCTCGACGTGACGGTGACGCCCGCGTGGCTCGTGGTCGAGAACGCGCTGGGCGTGGCCAACACGCTGCGGCACAGCAGCGTCGAGCGGCGCACGTACCTGGTCCACGGCGCGCCCAACACGCGGTCGCGGGTGACCCTGTTGGCGCCGGAGCGCGACGACTCGGTCGTGATCGTGGCCCACGGCGCGCCCGGCAGCACCATCGCTCAGCAGATCACCGGCTGCGACGGCAAGTCCGAGGTGCGGTACTCGTTCCGCGACGGCGGGGACCACGAGCTGCGCATCGGCAACAACCAGCGGGTGACCGACATGCGCTGCACTGTGTGGCTCGACGCCATTCCGCCCGGCGGCGCCGGCGGCCAGACGGTGAGCGTGATTATCGAGGCGTCGGCCGAGACGCGGCCGCTCCAGTACGACGTGCAGGAGAACGCCATCTTGATCTACGACGTGGAGGGCGACGGCAGCTTCTTCCACCTCATGTTCGACCAGATCCAGCGGGTCCAGATCCAGTTCGGCGTAGGCGGCACGGTGCTGCGCATGGCCGAGGGCACCACCGGCACCGAGTTCTTCTTCGACTTTGTCGACACCAACGCGACGACGGTGAACGAGGCCCGCATCGCGGCGACCAACAGCCCGGTGCTGCTGGCCGGCCACCTGACCACGGTCGACGTCGGCCCGGCCCAGACCGCGATCGTGAGCGTCGACCCGCTGCAGGACATCCTCGCGCCCGTCGCGATCGCCCAGCCGCCCGCACAGCTCCCATCTGCGCTCGTGCGGCTGGCCTCGGGCACCGGCCCGCGCGCGCCGGCCCAGCACTACTACCTCGACAGCGCGTGCCTCGCCGCGCGCGACCGCAGCTCGTCGTCGGGTGCGCCGTCGCCGGTGCATGTGGGGACCAAGCCGTCGGCCTGGCTCTGCGGGCTGATGACCCAGCACGGCCTGCCCTCCGCGGCCTGCGCCGACCCGTGCCCGGTGATCTACACGGGGCCGATCAACGTCACCATCGCCACGGGCTGGGCCGACGACTCGTTCTACGCCGCCGACGTGGTGGCGGCCAGCGTGGCGGTGAGCCTCGGGCCGGGCGCGGACAACGTCACCTGGCTCGCGGTGCCGGCCAGCGCTGGCGTCGGTCGGGTCACGGCGCGGTTCGATCTGGGCCACGGCTCAGATCAGCTGCTGCTGGCCTCGCCCGTGCGCAACGTGACCGTGCTCCTGGGCGATGACACCGACGTAGACCAGGTGGCCTTCTACAGCGGCGGGCTGCCGGTGCCGCCCAGCATCAACGGCAACGTCGTGGCGCCGGTCGGCCCCGACGGCGCGGCGCTCACCCTCGAGCAGGTCCACCTTCAGGACCTGCTGTTCGTCTACGGCGGCAATCCCGCCGGGCCGCTCGGTGACGGCGTTGCTGTCGACAGCAATGTCACGTCATCATTGCCAGGCGGCCACCGCGTGGGCGACGATCGGCCGGTGGTGACGATCAATGTGACGGTGCCGGGCCAGGTGGTCAGCATGGACGCCCAGTCGGGCATCATCTACCACGTCGTCGGGTCGGCCCAGTCGGCCACCGTCAGCCTCAACGGCAAGGGCCGCCCGCAGCCGCCGTTCCCCGTCGCCGTCGACTGGGACCTGCTCGTTGACGTGCCGCCGTCCGTCGGGCTCTCGGTCACTATGCTCGCCGAGAGCGGCTCGCGGTCCAAGGCCACTATCGACATCGCCGACCAGTCGCCGGGGCCGTCGGTCCAGTCTGTCGACATCCGCTCGATCGACCCGCCCGGCCTGTGCAGCACCGTGGTGGGCCTGCTCGAGGTGCGCACCAACCACGTCGACCATCTCAAGATCGACGCCCGGCGCCCCATCGCCGCCCGCGTGGCCGGCACCGCCTTCGCCGACCTGGTCATCGTCACCCCCGATACGCCCGCAGCCGGCTCGTCCGCGTCGTCGGTCTATCTGGCCAGCGTGGAGAACACTACGCTGGTGGTCAACGCCACTGTCACCGTCGCCGCTCCAGCGCTGCTGGCCACTCGCGCCATCGTCGCCACGGGCCAACGCGCGCAACTGACCTTCGACGGCTACGCCTTCGGCAGCGGCGGCGCGTCGTTCGTCGACGGCTGCCTGCTGGGCGCCGGGCTCGCCGCGCCGTCTACGCCCTTCTCGCCGTGGTTCGCTGGCGAGGCCGCCGCGGCGCTGGGTAGCGCCACCGCAGTGGCGGCGGCCCAGGCATGCTCGTTCTATGGGCTTCGGTTGGCGAGTGTCAACCTGACCACGCCCGCGCTAAGCCTGGGCGGCCTCGGAGCCGATCGCGCGGTGCGGCGGGTCAACCTGCTCCAGGTCCCGGCGGCCGTAACGCTCGACGACGACCTCCAGCCCTGGGTGCGCACCACGATCGGGGCCGCCGCGCTGGCCGTCGACGACCGCTTCCTGCTCGACCTGACCGCGGCGGGCGGCATCGTCACCGTCGCGCCGCCTGTCTTCGGCCCGGCCAACACGAGCGCGCTCGACTTGTTCGTCAGCGAAAACGCCGAGGCGCCCTACTGCCGCTGGCTGCTCGGCGTGCCGGACAACGCCACGATCAATGGCACCGCGGCGTCGGGGGCCACGCTGCTGATGCAGGACGCCAGGCAGCGGGTGTCGCTCTACGGCTCGGCGCTGGTGTCGCCGCGCCACATGCCCCGCGTGCGGCTCCACGGCCCGCTCGCCGTCGCCGCGCTCCTGCACAACGCGACCAACGGCACCGCGCGCGACGTAGTGCTCAACCCGGCCTCGCTCTCGGTCGTCGAGGCGCTCGTGCCCATCGTGCCGCCGCCTCCGCCCCACGGCAACGACACCACCAACGGCACCGCGCCGTTCGTCTCGGCTCTGTCGCGCAGGGAGTTTGGCGATGACGTCAGCAGCGAGCTTAACCAGCAGCCGCTGTTGCACGTGGAGTGGATCATCGCATCGTGGCAAGAGCAGGGCTACCTGCGCGTGGAGCTCGCCGACGGCATCAACAGCGTCGTATTCAACCACACCAGCGCTTCGGCAGCGGCGGCGGCGGCGACCTTCCAGATGCCCACGCTCGTCGTGCGCGAGGCGGCCGCGGCCACGCTCGTCCCGCCTCAGCTCGGTCCGTCGCGCACGCCGTCGGTCAACCTGCTCCGCACGCGCGAGATCAAGGCCGACCTCTCGACCCAGTTCCTCGAAGCGCTGCCGGCCGACGTCGGCGACGATGAGGGCTACTGCCTGCAGCCGACGGAGCAGACCGACCGCAACTCGTGGCTGTGGCTCACCGTGCGGCAGGCGCCCTGGCTCGAGCCCTACCTCGCGTGCCGGCCCGACGCCGAGCTTGAGCGCTGCCGGCGCGACCACTTCGTGTCGCTCGACCTCGACCACCAGCACCACCGCCTCCGCGCCGTGCTCCACCTGACGCCATTGAAGAACGTCGTCCCTGTCAGCAGCAACCACTCCGCCAACCACTCCACCGCCGCCGATGCCGGGGAAGACGTGCCCTTCGTGCTGTTCGTCACCGCCGCCGGCGCCGACGCGGTCCACCACCCGATGGCCGTGGGCGCGCCCACCGAATGGGACTACGGCCTGAGCGTGCTGGTGCTCTTCGGCGGCATGATGGCCATCGGCTTTGGCTGGTGGGTCATCACCGGCAGCGTCATCCCGGCGGCCTGGGGGCCGTTCGTGATCACCGCAGCGCTGGCGGGCCTCGTCGAGTCCGACACGACGTGGGACCCGCGCGTGGTGTCGATCGTCGAAGCGGCCTACTGGATGGTGAGCTCGTTCGTGTCGGGCTGCCACCTGCTCGGCGTGTTCCACATCTGCGTGCTGGCCGTCTTCCTGGGCCTCGGCGCGCTGGGCCTCGGCGCCCTCTTCCTCCGGGACTCGTGGTCGCGCCTGCTGGTGCCGGTGGTCCGCCGCGCGGTGACGGCTCTGGCCGCCGTCGCCATCCCCTTCGTCATCGCCCAGGCGCCGGCCCGCGCCGGCCAGTCGGTGGGCTGGAGCGTGTTCACCGGCGGCCTCGGCCTATGCGGCCTGTTCGTGGTCGCGTCGCTGCTCTTCCACACCTTCGCCGCCATCCGCAGCCGCAGCCGCCGCGTACCGGCCGCCGCGCCCGCGCTGCTCCTGGCCGCGGTGGTGGTCGGCATGTCGATCCTCACGCGGCTGCGCTACGACGACGACGAGGTGACGCACAAAATCATCTTCATTGCCGCGATCGTCGCCGTGGCCGTCGACGGCGTGGCGAGCCTGTGCGGCATGCTGGTGCTGACGTCGCTGGTCAAGGGCTGGTGGCGCGTGAGCCCGGGCCTCATCTCCGGCGTCACGACGCTCGCCAGCGCCGGCTGCGGCTTCGCCTTCCTCTTCACCCTCAACCACAGCGCGGGCCTGCTGCCGCTCATCATGTGGTACGTGTGGGCGCTCCTGCCGACCGTGGCCGCCGTCTTCGTGCTGGTCCTGCCGTGCCCGGTGATCACGAAGTCGACGAACAAGAAGGGTACCACGGAGGAGCTGGGCCTGTCGGTGGCCGAGAACGAGAGGCCGCTGCTGCAGGGCGAAGAGTTCGGGCGGCGCGAGAACACCGGGTCGTACGTGCCGCCGCCCTTTGGCTCCATCAATGGTGGCTACGAGGGCGTCACCGGCGACGTGGACACCGACGTCGCGCGCCTGTAGAGCGAGAGAGAGAGAGAGAGAAACACTGTACATCGTGTCATCAATGAAAGCACTTCATTTCTCAAGCTCTGTACACGATTCGGCTTGGGCTTCGGTGGTGCGTTCGTCTTGGGCCTGGTTGCTGACGTTAGCCTGACCGACGCACGTGTGTGCGGTGGTGTGAGTCGGTACCAACGTCGGTGTGCTGGTGAGTGTTCATCCCATGAAGCCGTCCTCGTCGTCGCGTCGGTAGTTGATGCTGCTGGCGCCCATCCCATAGAGCGCCTCCGCTATCTTCTCTCGGCAGGCGTCGGCTCCGACCGGCACCTGGTGCGACCACAACTCTCTCGAGCGTGAGTTCTGGAAGCAAAGCCGGGTCAGATGGTGGGACGCGTACCATCACCTCGCGTTCGAGCTGCTCTCTGCTGATGTAATGGAACAGGACGTCGTCGTTGCTCCAGCTGCCTGAAGCCCCGGCACCCGGCAGTGGACTCGCTGTATCGGTCTCCGCCTCCGTCTCGGTCTCCGTCTCGGTGGTATCTTCGCTCTCTGTGGGTCGCATAACTGAAGGCCAAGTTCATCAGGGCGCACGCACCACCGCACACGCACATGCACCACCGCACGCGCACAATCGCAGGACAGAGGCAGCGCACCTCGACGGAGGATGGCCAAGGGAAAGGGGTTGCAGATCTGTACAGAAACTACGCCCGTCGGGTGTGGCGGAGCAATCACCTCCAACAGCTCCTCACTGAATGCGGCCAACGTTGTGAGAACCGGCACACAGGCCTGCTACACGACACACGCACGCACGACACACGACACGCATGACACGACACGCACGACACACGAACTTGCCTGTGGTACTTGAGCGGGAGGTTGCGCACGGGGCCGAAGCGGCAGGTGCAGTTGCGGCTGAAGTTGGTCCCGACGATGAGCACGCGCTGGCCGCCCGAGGTGAGGCCCACGTTGGGATGCAGCTCGGAGATGCGCGGCAGCGAGCTCAGGTAGCACGCCTGGAGCGCAGAAGAAGGTGAAGGAAGAGGATAGAGAGGCGAAGTAGTAGAAGAAATTGGTGCAGATGATGTCGGTGTAGAAGATGAAGCGAGATGAGGCACAACTGGTGGGGACGAGGGTGCAGAAGATGATGATGCCAAGACGAGATTGAGCGAGGCGCCATCTTGCACGCCGGCCTGTGCAAGTGTGGTGGTGTCGCTCAGCACGATGCCGCCAAAGATTACCTTGGCCGAGCGGATGAGGGCGAAGGGGTCAATGAGCGAGAAGGGTTGCTGCCGAGCGCTGGCTGCGTGCTGCGTCGCCACTACGTCCTTGAGTACAGTGATGGAGGCCGAGCGAGGCAGCATCAGGCTGATGGCCGCCACGGGAAACGGCGACGCTCTTGCCGGTGACCCGCGTATGTGGACTCCAACCCGAATCTCTTCGTCTCCTTCTTGCATCTTCTTGCCTTCCATCTTTGTAGCGGGTTATTTTTTATTTATAATTATTTATTTATAATTATTTATTCTCAGGTATTTATTTGTTATTTATTTCGTTACAGCTCATTTAGAGATCCATCTCACGGTTGCAGCTGGGGCACTTCTTGCTCTGCTGAAGCCACTTGTCCACGCACTCCTTGTGGAAGACGTGCATGCACTCCATCCGCCGAAGGGTGTCGCCAGTGGTGAAGTCGCTCAGGCAGATCACGCACCTGCACACACAGACACAGATGAGTAACTGCATCATGACGCCCCAGATGGTGGTGTGGTAACGTACGACGGTTCGCAGGTCATGCCCGCCCTGAAGGTCATCGTGGGTAGCCGGTCGATGTCGCGTACGCCCACGGCCACGTTCGGCAAGCTGACCAAGTCCTGTGCTCCGAGCCCCCAAGGATCAGCAAACAAACATCACAGCATGCTCAGGCGAGAGCGGCGCATGGTCTGGCTGATGCATGTGTACCTCGTATGACATCTGGTGGTCTTCTGCGTCCTGCGTGGCATGGGCCAGGCGCTGAGTGAGGAGCGACCAGAGCGGCAACGGCGGCGCAGGCCGGGTTGGGGCGAGCCTCGCGATCGGGGCAGGGACCGGTGGTGCGGCGGCCGCGGCGTCGGCAGCAGCAGAAACGGCCTCGAGAGCGGTGAGGTCCATCACTTCTCCGGCCTCGAGGCTGGACTCGAGCTCGAGCTGCTTCGCCAGCAGTGTGTCCTCTTCCTCCTGCAGCGCACGGGCGAGACGTGCGTCCTCCTCCCTTCGCTCTCGCTCCTCCCTTTTCCTCCGCTCTCGCTCTCGCTCCTGCTCTTCTCGTTCTCTTTCTCGTTTTCGCTGTCGTTGCTGCTGGTGTGGGCTTTGTTGACGTGGATGCTGTTGCCGTCGCTGAGGCTGAAAGTGCAGTTGTTGGTGTAGTGGCTGCGGTTGCTGAAGGTGTGATTGTGGTTGGTTTGGCTTGGGCTGGTTTTGGAGGCGTGCGGCTGCGGTGAAGCGCAGGATCCGGCGGCGGTGGCCCAGCGGGACGCCGAGACAGCTGGCCAGCTCGGTGTCGCCGATCTCGAGCAGGGTCGGGCCGTCGACCACTTCGTTTCGGAAGGCCTTGGCGTGGCGGCCCAGTCCCTCCCTCTCCAGCCACGCGCACACCTGTGGCCGATGTCAGCAAGAGCAAGTAGCGGAAAAGGCGAAATAAAGTTTGAGTGCAAAGGGGGCGTACATCGTCTGTGGTCCATTGCTGAACCTCGGCAAGGGTTGCGGCTGAAGAGCTCGAAGAAGATGAACTTGAAGATGAGGCTAAGGATGGCGAAGAAGGGGGGGTCGAGACAGGAGAGGAACTTCTACGCAAGGCGCGCTGTAGGGCACGTTGCTCGAGAAACTCCTGGTGCTCTCGCTCGGACTCGCGTTGGGCGAGTCGCGTCATGCGCTCTTCCTCGGCCACCTGCTCCTCCCGCCCGAGCCGCAAAATCCTGGCCATTTCTTCATCTTCATCTCGCCCCGCCGCGATTTGCGTGCTCGTTCTCGCCCACGTGGCGCTAGATCGCAACGGCGTCGTGGGACCTGGGGCTTGGAGCGACTCCACCAGGGAGAGCTCGAGAGCCAACCGCAGGTCCTCATCGTGCGCGTCCATCCTTGTGCCTTTGTATTAAAACTTTTCCGCCGAATTGGCGCCAACAGCATTTTTTGCCTTCTCGCGAAGGTTCTGGAAGGTCGTTTAGAAATTTACGAAATTTAGGAAAACATTTCGAGTTTTGGCATTTCTGGAGAGTTAGTTCCCTTTGGCGTCGGTGTTGCAGAAGGTGTAGAGGTCGTGGAAGGTCTTGGCCTTCATCCAGTCGCTGGTGAGCTCGATGGTCTCGAGGCCGAGCGCGGGCCGTCCCTGCCCCAGCGACTCCACGAACAGGCTGGCGATTCGCTGATTGACCGCGTTCACACTCGGGTGCGTCCGGTACTCGTCAATCTGTCATCAAAAAAATCACGCTTAGAACCAGATCTGTGTGCGAAGGTGCGTGTGTGCGATGGTGCGTGTGCGGTCGTGCGTGTGCGGTTGGGAGAAGGAGTACGGGCATCCAGAGCACTTCCTCGATTTCCTCCTCTTGCCGAGAGGTGGCAAAGGAGAGGGGCCTGCATGTCCGTGGCGGAGAGAAGCACCCCCAACATGGTTAGTTGTATTGCTTAACTTTCGCCAATCCAATATCAAAAAAAAAGGGAGGGGTAAGAAGAGGGTACTTGAGGAGGGCCACGAAGTAGATGTCCGAGTTCGAGAACAGGTGCGGGTGCATGTGCCTGAGGGTAGTGGCGGCGGCGGCGGTGAGAACTGAACTGAGGAAAAAGGCTGGTTTGGTTGGTGAGAATACCTGAAGGTGATGATGCCCTGAAATTCGGCTTTGATGCCCGTCTCCTCCTCGACCTCCCGCTCGGCCGCCAGACCCAAGGCCTCACCTGTGTGCATCGAATCAGATGAGCAATCAAGTCGCGTTGTGTGTCGTGTCGTATTGCGTGTGCGTGTGCGTGTGCGTGTGCGTGTGCGGTGGTGCGTGTCGATCGGCGCGTACCGGCCTTGACGTAGCCTCCGGGCAGCTTGTAGAACGGCGCCATGCCCGTCGGGATGTACTTCTCCCGAATGACCAGCAGCTCGCGCTTCTCGGCGTTGTACACGAATCCGCCCACGCCCACCGTGTGCGAGGCGCCGTCGGGCAAAAGACAGGTCTCGTTGTCGGGCAGCCAGCGGGTCATCATCACCGACGCGGGCTCCGCCGAATGGAACACGAAGCCGTGCTGGCGCCACACGACACACGACACACGACACACGACACACGACACACGACACACGACACACGACACACGACGAGGGTGTGGGCTGAAATCGTCGCGGGACTAGAGCTGTGAATGGTACCTTGGCGGCGGTGGGGATCAGGTGGGAGAGGGCGATGGGGATGCCCAGCCACACGCCACGCTTGCCCTCCTTCTTCCAGTGCTCCAGCGAAGCTGTTAAAAAATAAAAATAAAAATAAAAATGAATGAGCGATGAACGAAATGAATGAATGAAAAATAATGATGAACAAGCACATAATAAAAGACCCTTTCCATTGCTGGATGGTTGGGCAATTGATTGGGCTAAAAAGATACCCGAAAGAACGGAATCGAAGCTGGATGCATCGTGGGGCAGCGTGGTGGAATCGACCGTCACGCCGTTGTAGAAGTCCACCTTCGCCGCCAGGATCGTGACCGGCACCTCGCTAGCTGATGCCGCCACTTCCATCTTTCGTTCACTTCAAACAAAACAAAAAATGAAGAAGAAAAGAGTTTTATTAAATAATAATGAATTCAATTAATAATTTTTAGCGAAGTGCCGCCATCGCCACCTTCATCAGAACCAGTTGCGCTCGGCGTAGGGGAAGTAGAGGGTGGGGGTGAAGATGGGGAGGAGGATGGAGCGGAGGACGAGGTGGCCCATGAGGCGGTGCTCGCGGCGGCAGGCCTCCCACAGGCGCACGACGAGCGTGGGCAGGAGCTCGAGGAAGTAGGGCCGCTCGGTGAAGATGCGGTCCTCCTCCTTGTTGGCCGAGTGGACGTAGCAGTTGCGGATGAAGCGCAGCAGGTTCACCGGGCGCTCCTTGTCCCGCTTCTCGACCCACCACGACGCCTTGGCCGCCCACAGGCTGGGCTCCAAAATCTCCCACCAGTACTCGGCCCTCCTGTCTCGCGTCGTCAGAAAACACCGCACACACCACCGCACACGTCGCACACACAAGACTGCATGACAGATGGAGGTACCCGTCGAGGAGTTCGTGGATGATGGCGTCGATGCGGGCGAGTTCGTCGGGGAAGTCGTAGCTGCGGAGGTTGCCCAGCGCGACGAGGAAGTTGGTGGCCTGGCGGTCGTTCCAGAAGAACGGGTGGCGGAGGATGTTCTCGTGGCACTGCTTCTTGCGCTCGAGGCTCGGGTCGTACCAGGCACGGGTGTGCGGGTCGGCCATGAGCAGGTTCTCGAGCAGGTGGCGCGTGGCGGCGAGCTTGTGCGGCCACGGGATGACCTCGGCCAGGCGCGGCCGATCGAACAGCCGCGCGCTGGTGACGTAGGCGCCCGGCGGCCAGTTCTCCTCGCCCGTCAGGAGGTAGAACAGCACCAGGCCCAGCGAGAACAGGTCGCTGGTCAGCACCGCGCGCTTTCCCAGGAACTGCTCCGGCGCCGCGTACATGTAGGTCCCTAGTGTGTGCGGGTGGCGTTGATTAGGTGGCGCGATGTGTGTCGTGTGTGCGGTGGTGCGTGCGTCGTGTGTGGTGTCGTGTGGTGTGCGTGTGTGTGTGTGTGTGGCCGTACCGGAAAGGACGCCCGTGGTGTTAGCGGTGGTGTTGCTGCTGAGCTCCTTGGCGATGCCGAAGTCGATGAGCTTGATCTGCTTCATGGTGTCGACCAGAATGTTCTCCGGCTTTTTTACGCAACACACAGGCACGTTACACGGCGTAAGGACTTGCTCCGCGTGCGTTGCTGCGTGCGTGCCGAGCGTGCGGCAAGAGTTGTAAGGTACCTTGATGTCGCGATGCACGAGACCGCCGTGGCCCCGCCAGAGGTCGCCCAGAGTGCGCAGCACCGATCCCACAGCGTACTGCGCAGCGTCACATCGTCAGCACACCACCGCACAGTACTCAAAAGGCCGGGAAATGAAGGCAAGAAAGTAGGACTGACCTGGCAGGTGAGAAAGTGGGCGGGCCGGCCGCCGAGCATGCCCTGCGAGTGCCACGACTGGACGAGCTCCTTGAGGTTGCACTCCATGAGCTCGAGGGCGATGTAGTGCTCGATCTGCGGGTCGTGGCGGTCGGTCAGCGGGTCGGACAGGATCACGACGTGTCCGAAGTAGCGCACGAGGCCCATCACGCTGTTGCGCGTCTTGAGCAGGTCGATCTCCGTCTTGAACTTTTTGTCGAGCGGCTTGGCATTCTCGTCGACGCTGCCGGCCTCGGCTTCGCCGTCACTCTCGTCGTCGTCGTCGTCGTCGTAGGGCTTGGAGATGCGCTTGAGCGCGATCTCCATGCCGTCGTCGTACTTGAGGGCCAGAAAGACGTCGGACGAGCCGCCGACGCCGATGCGCAGGTGGCGGTTGAACACGAAGCGCGGCACGGTCGAGCCGGGCTCGCAGATGGAGCTGAACCGGCAGGCCTTGGTCATCCGCTCGAACAGCTCGCGGTAGCGCTCGGAGCAGGCCTGCCACTTGCCGCGCATCTCCGGCATCACCTGGCCCACCTCGCGGTAGCGGATGCCGGCGGGCGGGGCCTTGAGGTACTCGAGCAGGTGCTCCTCGTACATGTTGCCCTCATCGGCCTGGTAGTCCGCTGGCGCCTCGGCCTCTACGGCGGTCGCCCCTTGGGCGGCGGCACGAGCCTTGACCGGCGGCACGATGGCTGGGGCTTTTGAAGAAGAAAACGAGAAATACAGAGTCAGCTGACGTCATCAAAGAGCGGCTGACATGGGGGCTGGTACCTTGGGTGGCGATCAGTTGGGCCGATGCAGAGGCCGGGGCGGCGGTGCGCGTGGGCTTCTGCCTGGCGACGGGCTGCGGTGGCTGGGGCTGGGGCTGGAGCTGGGGCTGGGCATACATGCCCTGCTGGTCCTCGAGCATGGGCGACATGGACCGCTGGTGGTAGACGCCCGGGGCCGGTTGCTATTGCACCACAGTGGCAGTGGCGTTGTCCAAGTGTTGTTAGAATGACGTATGTCGTGTGTCACACAACACACGCCCGACACACGCCCGACAGAGAACACTGGCGAGCTGGGGATGAGTACCGTGGACATCTGCATTGACGGCATGAACGGCGAGTACTGCGCCGCGTATTGCTGCTGCATCTCGTAGTGCGGCTGCGGCGGTTGTAGATGCGGCTGGATGATCGGCCTGTAGTTCTGCTGTTCGAGCTGCAGCTGCAGCTGCGGCGGAAGCTGCGCCTGATTCTGCTGGTGCTGCTGATACATGAGCGCCGCCTGTTGTTGTTGCTGCTGCTGCTGCTGCTGATGCAGAAGCGCCGCCTTGTGGTCGACCACGTTCGCGGGAGCGGGCGCGACCGGTCGCTTCGTGATACGGAGGTAGGGGTGCGGCCGCAGCTCGGTGGTGGGCCTGTCCTCCCAGAACTTAGCTGACAGGTGGATGTCGTAGCAGTCCTTCCACTTATCACAGTAATCCTCCGTGCAAACATTAATTAATCCTGCAACGTTCATTAAAAATCAGTGAGCGAGCGCCACACGCGACACAACACACACACGACACCGCACACGATACAGGACACACCGCACAGGCGTACCTGAACTGCCCTTCATTTCGAGCCAGTATCTAAAGCCGGCTGTGTCCATGGCATAACGAAGCGGCACCGAGACCGGGCCAGCCGGGGAGCCCACCAGCATATTCTCGACGCCCGAACGCGACGTGGCGACCTCGACGTTGTAGAGCACGAAGTCCTTCGGCGGCACCAGCTCGCGCGGCGTGTGCGCGAACGGGCAGAACTTGCCGCGGTTGGGGCACTTCTCGGGCGGCGAGAACGAGCACATCTTGACCTTGGCCAGATTATTATAGATCTTCATCACCGGATGCAGGAAGTAACAGTTCTCCCAACGCGGACATTTGCCTGTGTGTCGTGTCATGCGGCGTGTGCGTGTGTGTCGTGTGTGTCGTGTGTGTGTGCGTGTGTGCGTGTGTGCGATGTTAGGATGTTGTGGCGAGGTGCAGAGTCCAGTGGGGGCAGAAAGGGTACCTTCATGCTTTAGCCAATACCTACACAGATCGCCCTGGGTGACCTGCGGCACGCTTTGCATGACGGTGGTCATCTTGGTCGGATAGAGCTCCGTCAGGGGCATCACCAGCAGCGAGTTGTTGTCCTCCTCGTTCGGATACTTGACCTTGATGGGATCCTTGCGCTTGCTATCCTTAATCACGGCGTAGTCTGGCGGCATGCGTAGCTCTTCCCACGTATGCGCGAATTTACATCTGTGCGTACATCAAGGCCAACGATGAAGCTGCAATCTGAGGTGTTTGCAGTAAAAAAGCGATTTCCACCGAAGCGGCCAACCAAAACAGGGCTGAAAAGAATATAGTGCGCTACACACAAAGATGTAATCTTGATGGCCGAGCAGCACCACAGTGCCAATAAAACGTAGGGGCAAGTAAACAAGAGGCATTCTAAAATTAATTCGATTTTTTGGCCAAAAAATTAACAAATTAGAAGATCACGAGGAGGGAACGTACTGCTTGCCTTGCTGACGAAAGAGACAGGCGCTGGCGCCTCGCTTGCTAGGCCCGCCGAAGGCGGTGTCAATTATATTGTTGCCGTTGTTGCAAGGTACCGTGCGGGCCGTATGGTACTGCTTATTCTTTACCTCCTCAAGAAATTGTCTTAAATCATCTACAGTGTACTCGCTGAAGTAGTGCTGTTGGTCCATCGTTGAGATCGCTTCCTATCTATGTTACGTTCGTGCGTGCTGTTCGCTTCGATCTTTTGCTTTGTGTTCGCAGTGCAGTATTTTGAAGTGTATTTATTTTTTTCACTGCACAAGGAAAGCAGAAAGAAACCAAAAAGAATAAGAAAGAAATCACATTTTTAAATCTATTTTGCAAGCGAGATGTCTGAGGCCGTGACAGGACTTGCAAGTCACTGGTTCTGCGGCCTCGTTGAGCGGCCACCAAGCTTGGTGCGTGCGTCGAGCACACAACACGATCTATTTGATTTGTAAGCACTACACAATCTCTAGAGATGACGACTGCGCCAGCACAGCGAAGCTGGGCCAAGCTGGCCCTGCCGCTAGTGCTCTTGGGGCTGATGGTGGTGGTTGAGGCCACTACCATGGCAAGCGCGAGCCCCGCTGGATCAAAGGCAGTCTGGCCCGCGCGTCGATCGGCCACACCGCCCGAGGTGCAGGTGCAGGCCGTGCAGGGCCTCATCGGGCGGCTGCTGGGCGCCTCCTACGTGCCCCTCTTCCAGCTTTCCATCCTGCCCTCCCCTTACGCAAGCTCCTCCACCGACCACGACTACTACACCCTCTCCACTCGCACGTGCGTGCATCTTCTTCTCGCTTCAGATTTGATGAATACCGACCACTACTCTGGCCATGCGGGGGTGGTGTGCGGTGAGCAGGGTGGGAGGAGTGACGCAGGTGCAGATCCAGGGGTCGTCGGGCGTGGCGCTGGCGTCGGGCCTCCACTGGTACCTCAAGTACTCGTGCAACTGCTCGGTCTCCTGGGGCGTGGCCGGCTCCGGCAACAACCTCGCTCTCCCCTCCGTACTCCACCCGCCACCTTCAGCCTCCGCCGACTGTGGGTTGTGAAAGGCTTATCGCGTGTTTCTTCCTCGTCCACAGCGGCTGCCGGCGCTGTCGAAGCCGCTGGCAATGCAGTCGCCGGTGAAGTACCGGTACTACCTCAACGTGTGCACGCACAGCTATTCGTCGGTGTGGTGGCAGTGGGATCGCTGGGAGCAGGAGATCGACTGGATGGTACTCTAATCGGCCTTATCAGACCTTTGTTCGTGTCAAACTCCTCCTGAACACGTTTGGCTGACCCATATCCTTACCATGATGCCACGCAATGGTGATAATGCCAATAATAGGCGTTGCACGGGATCAACCTGCCGCTGTCGTCGACGGGCCAGGAGTACGTCTTCGCCGAGGTCTTCAAGGCCCTGGGCCTCAACGACACCGACCTGGAGCACTTTTTTGTCGGTCCCGCATTCCTGGCGTGGTGCGTCATGACCGCTCACCAGCCATCTCTGGTGGTTTAGACCTGAAACTGATGGTTGCGTTCATCAGGGGCCGCATGGGCAACATCCAGGGCTGGGGCGGGCCTCTCGACCCTGCGTGGCGCAAGGCTCAGGTACAATGCCAGAGCATCACATGAATGGACTCTGTCGCTCTTCGCTCATGCCAGCTGCCACCCGACAACAGGCTGAGCTGCAGAAAAAGATCGTCGAGCGACAGAGAATGTTCGGCATGCTGCCCATTCTCCCCGGCTTCGCCGGCTTCGTGCCCGATGGCATCAAGCGGATCTACCCGACGGCCAACCTCACCAAGTCGGCCGACTGGGCCGGCTTCCCGCACCAATACACCAACGTCTACTTCTTGTCGCCCCTCGACTCGCTCTACAAGACCATCGGACGCATGGTCATCCGCCGAGTGACGGCCGAGTTCGGGACGGACCACATCTACAACGCCGACACGTTCAACGAGATGTCGCCGCCCTCCGCTGACCCAACCTACCTGGCCGCTGCCAGCCGAGCCGTCTACGAGGTGCTGTGCAGTCTATCAGAGTGGCGTAAGCGATGGTGGGGTTTTCGCTCACACTGTGGACTGCCTTGAGCAGGGCATGGCGGCAGAGGACCCGCAGGCGCTGTGGGTGATGCAGGGCTGGTCGTTCGTGTTTGACAAGTTCTGGGAGGACAAGTCGCGCGTCAGATCCTACCTCAGTGGAGTGAGCGACAAGGACATGTTAATCCTCGACCTGGCCTCGGACAACAACCCCGAGTGGAGCAAGACAGGTCAGCCAACCACCCCCACCCACCATTGTCTGGCCCACCACCACCACCACCACCACCACCACCACCACCACACCTAGCATTGAGCTCCCCTATTTCCTGGGACACAGACTCGTACTTCGGCAAGGAGTTCGTGTGGTGCATGCTCCACAATGGAGGCGGCGTGCGGTGCGTTCCCCCAATAACCTCTCTTAGCGTTGTGAGTTCCACAATCTCATTTTTTTATTTATTTCTTTTATCGGTTTTTCCTGTACAGAGGACTGTACGGCAATCTGACGCAGTACTCGTCGGACCCGCTGCTCGCCCTCGCCACGCCCGGCAACACCATGGTAAAAGCTCCTTGCATTGTATTTTAATCTATTTTATTTTATGTTGTTGTACAGGCCACAGCTGATCTGTGGCACATGCGAGCAGGTGGGAGTGGGGATGACGATGGAGGCCATCGAGCAGAACCCGGTCGTCTACGAGCTCATGTCCGAGATGGGCTGGCGCAGCGAGGCCTTCGACATCGTCGAGTGGGTGCAGCGCTACGCCGAGCGGCGGTATGGCCTCGCGGCGGGGTTGTCGTCGGTGGGCGAGGCATGGGAGCTGCTGCGCGAGGCCACCTACAACCAGTCCGTGATCGACTATGGATGGTTCGGTTTCACACCCGGTACGACAACTTGCAAGTTGACCGCGCACGCCCACCACCATCAACCGCAATGCCTCATCCTTGCCAACGCCTTAGGTCTGGGCATGGGCTACGGCGGCGTGGCGAATGCGGCCAAGGAAGTGGAAGCACTACGCCTGTTCCTCCAATCCGCCCTAACCAGTTACGCTCATTATTATTACTTGGCTCTTTTGCGCCAAACTGACCGTTCGATGGTCACAGAGGGCTACGCTCCCAACGGGCCGTGGCAGTACGACTGCGTGGACCTCACGCGCCAGGTACCTTGACTGGCGCTCAATTGCATCGCAACGCACGATCATTCTTGTTGACTTGGTTGCTCACAACACATCAATACGCAGGTGCTGGCGAACACGTTCAGGGACATCTACGCGCAATTTGACGCTGCCTATTCAGCATACGCTGCCCATAAGACATACACGGTCGACCAGTTGAAATGTACGTGTCATGCACACTCTTCTCGACCGCCTTTTCTTGGCTTTGCTTGTCTTCGGTTGGTGAGCTTAGGTATGCTTTGTGCGTGTGTGCGCGATTCAGCTCTGGGGTCTGCGCTGTTGACCCTCATTGGCGATATCGACGAGATTCTGGCCACCAACCCCAACTACCTCCTTGGCACCTGGTACGCAGGCACCTTCCGCCCATAGACCACCACACCACCATTTTAACCTGTGGCTCTCTTCCCCCTCCCTAGGATTCAGAGCGCCCTGTCGTGGGCCGACACGCCGGACCAAGCGCTGCACTACCAGTTCAACGCGCGCAACCAAATTGTACGCCTCTCCACCAGCAGAACATGTGGAGATGACCGATGATCGATTCTAACCGTAAGGGCGGGCTGTCGTGGGCGCAGACTTTGTGGGGACCGGACGGCCAGATCACCGATTACGCCACCAAGCACTGGGCCGACCTGGTGCGGTCCTACTATCAACCGCGCTGGACCCTCTTTATCACCTCAGTCTGTACGCTGCCTTTGCCCCACCCCCTTCATTCTTCTGTACACGTTCTCTCAGCGCTAAACCCCGGTCTGGTCGTGCAGTGCAAGCGGTCTACGCCGGACGAGAGTTTGACGCGGCCAGGTACCGCGGTGAGCTGCTGCAGCTGGAACAAAAGTGGAACCGTGAGAACACGACCTACGCCACCACACCCACGGGCAACACCCTCCAGGTGGCATACAAGCTCGCCGCCAAGTACTACCCTCTCACCACCATGTGTATCGTGTGTGTGTCGTGTGTCGTGTCATGGTGCGTTGTATTAATGTTGGTGATTGGCACTAGGTACCTTGACTTGCCGCGCTTGGCGCCGCGGTACGTCAAGCACGCAGCGATGGATGCCTCGGGAGCGGACCTGCTTGCGCACCCGATGTGGAGCACGGACCTAGCCCAGCTCATGTGGCTGTGCGACCTCAACCCGCTCTGCCTCGGGTTCAACACCAACGGCTGGCTCAAGGCCGGCGTCTCGCGCCTCGTGCCCAGCTCCGCAGTCGATCTCTACATCAAGTCGTCAAGCAGCCAATGATGACGATGACGATGAGCTCATAGTGAGATCAAGTCCTTATTAAGAAGCTTGATGGGTTCGGATCAGGTCCTATTTGGTCATTGCAGAGTAACCTTGAAGAAGAAGGACCCTCGTTCATTGTTCTTCTTCTCGTAGTTCACAAGGTCATGGTGCGGCCAGTTCACGGTTCTGTGGTGCTTGGCCTGTTGTTGGGCTTGTTGCTGGTGGTGGTCGCTGCCAGCGGGCTGGAGTCTCATCATCATGAAGAGGACCACCAGGTCGAGGTGAGCGTCGAGGGGGTGGCTTCGCGGTTCCCTATGCGCAAGTCGACGACGCCGCCCGAGGTGCAGGTGCAGGCCGTGCAGGGTCTCATCGGACGGCTGCTGGGCGCCTCCTACGTGCCTCGCTTCCAGCTCTCCATTTCACCAACACCGCAAGAAGATGAAAGTAGCACTTCGGATCACGACTTCTACACGCTCTCCACAACCACGTACACTCGCCTCTCCCTCTTCAGATCCATTCAGACGGAGTGGGATTAATCTAGACAATGATTCTGCTACTCGAATTAATCTAATCGGGAGCAACTGTGGCCCCTTGGGGGAGCAGAGTGGGAGGAGTGACGCAGGTGCAGATCCAAGGGTCGTCGGGCGTGGCGCTGGCGTCGGGCCTCCACTGGTACCTCAAGTACTCGTGCAACTGCTCGGTCTCCTGGGGCGTGGCCGGCTCCGGCAACAACCTCGCTCTCCCCTCCGTACCTCACCCGCCACCTTCAGCCTTCACGCAACCTCTTCAACGCATGCGTTCTTCTTCATCATGGGGCTCACAGCGTGCTTGGTGGTCTGTTCGTTCGCAGTCGCTGCCATTGCTGTCGAAGCCGCTGACGATGCAATCGCCGGTGAAGTACCGGTACTACCTCAACACGTGCACGCACAGCTATTCGTCGGTGTGGTGGCAGTGGGACCGCTGGGAGCAGGAGATCGACTGGATGGCACGTAACCATGGCCTCCTCACCACTCATCGTTTGCTGGTTGGGCTGACATCTCTGTTCGGTGGCGGTGGCGGACAATAATAGGCGCTGCACGGGATCAGCCTGCCGCTGTCATCGACGGGCCAGGAGTCCATCTTCGCCGAGGTCTTCAAGGCTCTAGGCCTGACCGAGGACGACCTCGCCAGCTTCTTCGTCGGCCCTGCCTTCTTGGCCTGGTACAACACGCTCCCCACAATGAGCCACCTAGATCTTCGTGCCACGTCATCATCATCATCGATGGCTGATGGTTGCATTCATCAGGGGCCGCATGGGCAACATCCAGGGCTGGGGCGGGCCTCTCGACCTTGCGTGGCGTCTGGCGCAGGTTAGCCCACCACTCCCCAGAGAGAGAGAGAGAGAGAAGCCAGTCTAGTCTGCCACCAATAACGCAACGCACCACCCACCACAGGCCGAACTGCAGAAAAAGATCGTCGAGCGACAGAGAATGTTCGGCATGCTGCCCGTTCTTCCGGCCTTCGCCGGCTTTGTGCCCGAAGGTTTGTTTACCGTCACAAACACCTCCAGCGAGCGTCAAGTTCACTCTTGGTCGTGGTGGTGGCTGTGGTGAACAAGGCATCAAGCGGATTTACCCGACGGCCAACCTCACCAAGTCGGCCGACTGGGCCGGCTTCCCGCACCAATACACCAACGTCTACTTCCTGTCGCCCCTCGACTCGCTCTACAAGACCATCGGGAGCAAGGTCATCCGCTTGGTGGAGGAAGAGTTCGGGACAGACCACATCTACAACGCCGACACGTTCAACGAGATGTCGCCGCCCTCTGCCGACCCGACCTACCTGGCCGCTGCCAGCCGAGCCGTCTACGAGGTGCTGCGCTCAACAACCCAACCTCAGCCCACCA